CTTCAGTGACAACATGTAAGGTGCTTTCTGGAGAGACAGATCTGGGACTTCATGGAGCTTGCAGAATTGGTTGTATGACTGCTGGCTAATAAGTGTTTGACACATTTGGCCTAAGACTATCTCTGAAACATACCACCTGAAGCGTGGTTGTGGAGAAGCCCCATAGTTCAATCTATATCTTAACTGTTGGAGGCTACTGATACCTGCCTTAAAGATGTTATTAATAACAAACATGAATGACCACATTGACTTAGGTTAATTTGTAACCTCCTTCTCCCTTAGTTATCTCCAGCCAAAAGAACTCTAGTCTAAGAGAGTCACAAAATATCTTGTAAAAATTTACCACAGGCCTCAAACAGAGACTCGGGGAACTGAAGTCTCTGACATGAGTGCTTCCTGCAGAGTATAAGCATTTGGAACATGGATAAGGCCTGTGGGCTAAAATCTCCGGCAAGCAGCAGTTAGAAATTCAATGTTGTCCCCAAGCACTATAGATCTCCTGAGTGTTTTGAATTCCAGTGGGAAGGGAGTTCTGATAAAAGGCAGCTGAGTTTGGAAGGATTATAGCCTCAGGATGGCTCCTCTCCCTTTTGACCCATGGTTGAGGAAATTCTGCCTCAGCAGCCTTGTCTCTCTCCCTTTCTGCATCCATCTCACTGGTGTCCCCAACCCCCGGGTACATGGCCTGTTGATCCCCCATGTGTAATCCCCCATCTCAAGCAGCAATTCCAAAGACATTGGAGAATGTTGGCCTTGTTGGTTGTCTCATATCAGAAATAATCTGAGAGTTGCTTGTGAATTGCAGGACTATTTAGATTTTGAGGTCATAGAACTGGTACTTTTAAAATGTCTTTTTATTTTTAAATTATTATTATTATTTTTTTAAGAAATAGAGATGGGGTCTTGCTATGTTGCGCAGGCTGGTCTTGAACTTCTGGCCTCAAGTGATTCTCCTGCCTTGGCCTCCCAAAGTGCTGGGACCACAGGTGTGCACCACCGCACCCAGCCTTTAAAATGTCTTAAAAAGTGAAAACTATATTTGAATATAAATAAAGAATTAAGAACAATACTTGAGTATTGAGACTATATTATCCAACACAATTGATGAAACTATAGACCACACTCTCTAGACTTGCACACAAGCTTTTCAGTTTTAATTTCACATAATTTGAAAACTGACATACATGTGACTATAGAGCATTTGAAATGTGACTCATACAACTGAGGAACTGAATTTTTTATTTTATTTAAGTAACTTAAATTTAAATAGCCACCTGTGAGTAGTAGCTACCATCCTGGTCACCACACATCCAGAACACGGTGATAAGCCTGTATCAGGATAGTCTAGGTTATGTTGCAGCCACAGAGAACCCTAAAATCTTGGTGATTTAAAAGAACAAATGTTTATTTCTTGCTGGTGTTATGTCCCCATTTTGGGTTGGCTAGAGACCCAGATGGCTGCAGCAGCCACCATCTCACGCATTGCCAGTCATTATGGAGAGGCTTGTACCAGCACGTAAATGCTCTGGTCCCGAGGGTACATACATAACTTCTGGTCACAGCTCACTGACTAGGACTAGTCACATGGCCCCATCTAACCAGGAAGCCGACAGTGAAGCCCTAACTCTGTGCAGAGATCCTTAGCAACAACTGCCACTGACATTATCCCCCACTTTCAAAATACAGAGAAGGAGTCCCAAGGGATAAAGAGAGTAGCGCTACTTGTGTTTTGTTGAAAAATGGAGAATTGGGTTTCTCGGAACTCATTTATTATCTCCTATGTACTCGTTAGCACGGATTTATCAAAAACAGGTGAGGTGTGGAGCAAAAAGCAAATTTCAAACATTTTAACAAAAATAAAAAACCTTTACATAAATTTAGAGCTCACAATAGTCAGCATGTCTTATTAGTTGCATGTAGGAAATATCTTTTAATAAGAAGATATGCAATGCAAGGAACAATCAATGGATTATTTTTTATATGTTTGGGATGAAAATGAATGGAAGAAAGTATATCTGTTATTTTTCTTGGTGCAGCATATAAATTGTACATTTTTCACTAGCAAGGAATAAAAAGAGTCATTTTCTTTAAAAACAATAAATTACTAGGGACATTTGTGGATTGTGATTGTCTTAAATATGAAAACACTAAACATTTATTAACTGGACAACGGATTGTTTCTTTCCAGACTACATCAAAGAATCAGAGAATTATCTAGCCCTATATTTAACAGCATGTCTTAAACTCTTTCTAGACCATCCACAATATTGCTTGAACATCTGAAGACATGGGGGACTCGCCATCTGATATCTGATAACAGACTTCCTGTAAAGCAGAACCAGTAGTTTCTTGATAACAAATTCTTCAATATGAAGATATGGATAAAGCATTTGGCTGCCAATAATGAATTGCACCAAAGTCACCAATTCAAACCAAGCCCTGGTAAATAGTATTAGTGATGATGATGATGATGATGATGTCACATGTTGAAAATGTCATGTAGATTTTAGCATTTTGAGAACCTGATACTCTTATAACAGTGGTCCCTAACATTTTTGGCACCAGGGACCACTTTCATGGAAGACAGTTTTTTTCATGGATCAGGAGAGGGGGTGGTTTTGGGATGATTCAAGCACATTATACTTATTGTACACTTTGTTTCTATTATTATTACATTGTAATAATAATAAAATAATTATACAACTCATCATATATAGAATCAGTGGAAGCCCTGAGCTTGTTTTCCTGCAACTAGACTGTCCCATCTAGGGGTGATGGGAGACAGTGACAGATCATCAGGCCTTAGATTCTCATAAGGAGCGTGAAACCTAGATCCCTCACATGAGCAGTTCACAATAGAGTTCGTTCCTGTGAGAACCTAATGCTGCCACTGATCTGACAGGAGGCAGAGCTCAGGCCGTAATGCGAGCAATGGGAATCAGCTGTAAATATAGATGAAGCTTTGCTCACTTGCCCACTGCTAACCTCCTTATGTGTGACCTGGTTCCTAACAAGCCATGTACCCGGGGGTTGGGGACACCTGCTCTATAAGATGTCCTTCTAGAATGATACAGTACTAAGCTGATGCTCAAGAGAAATTTTGAACTAAATGTGTAAATTAGGCTACCTATATAAACAAGAACTTCCTAAATCATTCTGTTCCATAGTAAAACACAACCACGTAAGCCAGTTCTTCACATATACGCACCACAGTGTCTGTTTTTTGTTGCCAAGAGGTATCTGTGTTCTTTACAACTGGTAGCATGGAAAGAAAGAGAAGTCTGCAAAGATTGAACAAACAGCATGCACTGTGGTATCCTTTATTTAAAAATTGTGAGCTGACTACAGTTGTAGTGTTCTCATTTATCATTCTGATGGCATAATAAACCAAGAGAACATTAACACAATTCCAAGAAGGCATTAACCTGTAACACACATATACGCCACACATGCACACACACAACATACACGCACACAAAGGTTATATTCTGAACACAAAAGTGATGGAAAAAAGCTCTGAATGCTCTAAATCAAATAAAAACCCTTTATTATAATAAACTGTGGCAATACTGTGGCTATTATGAAAAATATTGTAACTATTTTAAAAGCAAAAGGAAAAATACTGGCAGTTTGAAACTAGCAGCAAAAAGCAGATAAAAATAGAATGGAAGATAACATAAGACTAATATCAAAATTCTAATGTTGATACTGTGTAGGACTGCACTGAAGTAATTTTAAATTGGTTCTTAAGGAACTCTTAAAAAGTCCCTTAAAATATTAAATTGTTGCACCTTACAAACAGTGGAAAAGAAAAAAAAAGGATTTGGAATGTTACACACACACAGAAGAAATGTATTAGGTCTATCAATTTTGGTCTTTGTTTATGACCTTCAAAACATTTTATAAAGAAAAAATTTAAGTGCCAATGTAGTGAAAGAAAGTTAAAAATTCCTAAAGACGCAAGTCTGAGTGCATTTACCAGGTCTAAGAATATATTTAAAGGTTAGGGGCAAGGCATGATTGATGCACATTTAAGAAGAAAAATATGGAGCCCATAAGGTAGGTCAAGTTCTTTGGAGAGTGTTGAGAATGAAGATGTATTAAACTCTGGCTATCTTGGAGGAGATTCCAAAGTACATGGAGTTCTCCAGCTCTTTATCAGTTGAAATCTGTTTCATCGTGGCCAATAGATAAGACTAACTTTTCAGCAAACTGGTTTCTCCTGTATTCAAACACAAAAATCTTTACCACACATTCAGAGCTGATAACAACACAAATAAGAATCCTGGTTTACAAAGGAAACCACATAAGCAAGGATTTTTTTTCCCATGGATTCTTAACCAAATGTCTGAAGCTGCTAGACATCTGCAAAGAGGGGATACATTTAGATTTCCTACTGATTTTGGAAGAAAAATATTTTTCTAAGGAAGCCAGAGTCATCCATGAGCAGGGACCTGTCTTCAGAATCTAAGAAGCATAATGTCCTTAATGCTTAAACTCATGACAAGCTGAGATCCAGAAAAACTGGCAGGTGGAAGGGGAAAGAGAAATGGAGAGTTTGAACATCTGCAGTATACTTTGGAATAGAGTGGCTCAACTGCTTTCAGAAATGAATTGCTGGAGTACTGGGAGAAAACCCAGTTATCTGGAGTCAGGGGGTGGGGAGAGAGAGGCCTCCCATCTCCAGGGACCCTCTGGGCTGAGCTGTGGGCCAGAACCCTTGTTTTGGCCTTATTTTTCATGAGCACAGTCAAGTGGATAATTTATGACTTTGCCCAGGTAAATATTTGGTTTGGTTACCTTCTCTCTAAAATCAATTGGTCAGCCAAGTTACTGGTGTTTTCCCTAAATGAAATCTAGTGGCACTAGTATCTTAAGGTGCCAGCTAATGTAGATTAATGCCCATCAATAACGCTGCTAGGTATCAACTGCTGTTGCTGAAGAATCAACCCACAAATGACCTAACTAGATAATCTATCACACTAGGTGCTTTTACTATCTTTTTTTTTTTTTAGTTTTAGAGAAATAGTCCTTTTAATATGACTTAGAAACTGCTTTTCTCTGGCTTTGTTTCACTCTTCTTCCTCTTCCCCTTCCCCTTCACCTTCCTCCATCGTTTCCACAATGAGCTCTGCTGTGCAGGTGGCTTCTCCAAGACTGTTGACAGCTTTGCAGGTGTACTTGGCATCATCATCCCCACAAACATCACTAATAATTAAAGAGCAGTTCCCGTCCTCATCGTAGTCTATCTGGAAGTGGCGGGACTCCCTGATTGACTGGTCATCTTTGAACCAGACAACCTCGGGGTCCGGGTATCCTGCATCACAGGGAGAGAGCACAAGTTGCAGGAACTGTTATTCAAAATTTATCAACTCATGCAAGCAACTCATAAGCTACCACTATTGATAAAGGTGGTTAAGGAAAAAATTTTCATGTTGGCCTTTATCAACTGTTTTGATATCTACATTAGAAAATGGACATGTCTTGTAAATACCAATATCTGAAACCCCAAATAGAATATGTTAAATTTGTTCCATTTCCCACACATGTTGGACTAGCACCACGTCCCACCTATTAAAAAACTTAATGGTGTTTTTTTTTTTTTTTTTTTTTTTTAAAGTGATGAGTCTCACTCTGTTGCCTAGGCTGGAATGTAGTGGCATGATCATAGCTTATTGTTGCTCAAATTCTTGGGCTCAAACTATCCTCCCTTCTCAGCCTCCTGAGTAGTGGAACTATAGACATGAGAGACCATACTCAGTTAAACATCCCACCTTTCACTTTTTGAGGGGTAGGAGGCAGGGTCTCATTCTATCACCCAGGCTGGAGTGCAGTGGCATGAACATGGCTCACTGCAACTTCCTGGGCTCAAGCAATCTTCCTCCTTCAGCCTCCCAAGTAGCTGGAGCTACAGGTACACACCACCATGCCCGGCTAATTTTTTAAAAAGTTTTCTTTGTAGAGACAGGGTCTCCTATGTTTCCCAGGCTGGTCTCAAACTCCTGGGCTCAAGTGATCCTCTGACCTTGGCCTCCCAAAGTGCTGGGATTATAGGCGTGAGCCACCACACCCACCCACCTTTAAACAGAGTACTACCTGAGGCTAGGCATGGTGGCTCAAACACTTATAATCCCAGCACTTTGGGAGGTTGAGGTGGGCAGGAATTCAAGACCAGCTTGGCCAACATGGCAAAAAAATAAAAATAAAAAAGAGTACTACCTGAAATACTGCTCCAACTCCAACTCTACACCTAGATCTAAATACCTTCTTAGATTGATAATACAATTTTCTTTTTCTTTTTTTTGAGTCAGAGTCTCACTCTGTTGCCCAGGCTGGAGTGCAGTAGCATGATCTTGGCTCACTGTAACCTCCGCCTGATTGGTTCAAGTGATTCTCGTGCCTCAGCCTTCTGAGTAGCTGGGATTACAGGTGCGTGCAACCGCACCCAGCTAATTTTTGTATTTTTAGTAGAGACAGGGTTTCAGCATGTTGACCAGTCTGGTCTGTATCTCCTGACCTCAAGTAATCCACCCGCCTCGGTCTTCCAAATTGCTGGGATTACAGGTGTGAGCCACCGTGCTTGGCTGAAAATACAATTTTCTATCTATTTTTTTGACAGAGTCTCACTCTGTTGCCTAGGCAGGAGTTCAGCAGCATGATCTCGGGTCACTGCAACCTCCACTATCCAGGCTCAAGTGATCCTCTCACCTCAGCCTACTGCATAGCTCAGACTGCAGGTACACACCACCACACCCAGCTAATTTTCATATTTTTTATAGAGATGGGGTTTCACCATGTTGCCCAGGCTGGCCTTGATCTCCTGGACTCAAGTGATCTGCCGGTTGAGATTACACGCATGAGTCACTATGCCCAGCCTAAATTTTCAATTTTGTATAATAGTTAAAGTTAAATAATTTAAATGAAAAATAAGAGTAAAAACAAAATGGGAACAAGGGATCTTTTTGGAGTGATGAAAATGTTCTAAAATTGGATTGTGGTGGTGGTTGCATGACTATAAATTCATTAAAAATAATTGAATTGTGCATTTAAAATAGGTGAATTTTATGGTATACAAATTATAACTCAATAAAGCTAATAAGAGCTATATAAAACATAATTGAAAAGAGCTGATAATATTTCTAAGAAGAAGAAAGCAGTATTTGTCTTAGTCTGATCCAAAGCAGGTAATTTGCCTATGGACAATTGGAAATGGACATCACCAATGAGCCTTTATGCATTAGTCATATTTCTGCAAAGTTCAGCAATTAAAAAAAAAATACACATGCATATAAAATACATACCTATTATATATGTTTAAAGTGTATGTGTGCATATATATGCACAGAAGCATTACCAACATTGTGCATTTTGCTCGCATGTACATGCCATATACATGTACCCCGCTTTTAAAGTCATACATATACATACCTTTAAAAATATACAATATATTCCACCTGACTTTCTCTTAAATGTTGGAGATGTATTTTTATAGGAAAAAAACTGTAGCCCTGATACGGTTTGGATGTTTGTGCCCCTTGAATCTCATGTTGAAATGTGATCCCCAGTGTCAGAGGTGGGGCCTGGTGGGAGGTGTTTGGGTCATGGAGGCGGATCCCTCATGAATGTCTTGGTGCCCTCCCCAAGGTAATGAGTGAGTTCTTGCTCTGTCAGTTCATGTGGATCTGGTCGTTAAAACGTGGCATGTCCTTCTCTCTCGCTCTCTCTCTTGCCATGTGACATGCCTGCTTCTGCTATGATTGAAAGCATCCTGAGGCCTCACTGGATGCAGATGCTGGCACCAAGCCAAATAAGCTTCTTTTCTTTATAAATTTTCTAGCCTCAGGTATTCCTTTATAGCAATGCAAACAGGCTAATACGAGCCCTAACCAGAAGAAAAATTATACATAAGAAATCAAGAATTCTAATATTCTTTTCAATGTTTTTTCAAAACAATTTTGGAAATTGTTTTTTTGAAGTAATTAGGAACACCCAGACCATGAGGAAATTGGGTCAGGAAGAGCTGATCGTAAAGTACCCTGCACTCCCACGCCCTGGACTCTCAGTGCAAAAGTTTCAATTCTGTTTTTATCACAACAACATCCATATGCTTTAATTTCTCATCAGAGCTCCAGCCAAAAGTTGCATAAATATCAATGAAACAATTCCAAAGAGAAAATTAAGTACAAAATGATAATCATTATGTTATTTTAAAACATTCAAAAAAGAAGAAAAAAACTTCAGAAGACCCAATGCAATGGTAATGGTGAGAATTGCAAGCAGTGGCTCCAGAGGCTTCAGCAGAATCCCCAGTCTGAGAATTTTCACATTATCAAAGGCAGCACATCCACTTTCTTTTAATTGAATGGAGAAAGGAAAATGACTATGGTAGGCGAAGCATTGATAAGGCACTTTGATAATATAAAGATGCAGAAGAAAAACTATTTTTTCCATTCCTAACTTTGGGCTATTTTACACAAAAGGCACTGTCTAGTCACATTGCTGGAGAATCAAAGAAAGTGGGAGGCACAGTTTGTTCTGACTGCTGTACAGTGCTATGCGGCCTTGGGAAAGTTGCCTAATAAACTTCTGTGCTCTATTTGGTCAGACCAAAATGGGCGATAACCTGCCACCCTGCTTGGCAGGTGAAAGTCATAGACTTGAAGCAAAGAGCCTGTCTTATCTTGTCCCTTCTCTTTCTAGATGGTTGTAATCTATATGAAAATGGAAACGCTTTGTGTCATCAACTTTGCTTATTTCTCAGGTGCTATGCCATGACCCCTTAAGGTCCCTTGAGCTCTGACCACTGATGGGTCTATGGCTGCATTATTCCCAGCAGGCAGATAAGCAGCCTGGGGAAGATGGCATCGGCTGAGTGCTTTGTCCCGGGTGCCTGGTTCCCAACTGGCCTCAGTCTGAAGTCACAATGCATGCTCTCTGTCTACCTGCCACTCCCACAACTTTTCCCTTTACTCCATGACATCTTTACAAGATCTAAAAGGTTCCCCTTTCTCACATATTCCCCTCACAGAATCCCTAGAGCCACTCTATGACTTAGCTATCATCTTACAGTGGAGGGATCTTAACCCAGGGGAGCTGAACCACCATCCAAGGTCACACAGCCTGTGGACAAGTAGCAGAGCCTGCCGACTCCACATCCTGTCTTTGTGCCAGCCTTCCTTTGAGGGCCTCGTATGGGCAAGTCACATGCTTTTCAGCAGTTTGCAAAGCTCATTTCACTAAGCATATTCCAAAGCCAGGTAAGTCCATGCAAGGCCATTTCTAAACTTAGGTCTAGTGGCTGGTGTAAGTAGGTGAAATTTCAAATGTGCCCCCTGGGGAAGTGACTGAAGGACACACCTTCAGGAGGTGGGAGTGCAGGGCATCGCCCTTTATGAGCAGCTCCTGCTGACCCAGTTTCCCCCAAAGCTTGGCGGTTCCTCATTGTCCCAAGCTGCACAGAACTGACATCCTGCTCAGGGTGCATGGTAGGGACCCTACCATCCAGCCACACCCTATTGACGGTGAAGAGAAGCACAGCTACAACTTACCTTCAATCTTGCAGTCAAATCTAGCAGCACTTCCCTCCACAACTTCTAAATCACGAATGGTCTTAGAGAAATAGGGTTTTACATGAGGCTTTTCCTCAGCAACAGCCTCAAGGAAAGCTTGGGACACATCTTCTAGAAGACAGAGAAGAAGAGCAGGTCATTTCTTCATTCCTTGTTCTCGCCTCGCCTCTAGCTTAAAGAAACTAACTTTTTAAAAAGTGGCCATGATTTAGCAAAGAAGGCAGCTTTGAGAACTGAATCATAAGCACGGCTTTCTCCTGGGGACAGGTTGGCCTGCTGCCAAATGGTTTTTGGCAGAAGAAAGAACTGTGCCCAAGCTGAGGAAATGATCAGACTCCCCCTTTCCCTTATGCTGACATGTTGAAAGAGGAAATCATCTTTAAAAAGGATTTCTGGCTGCATTTCATGCTGCTTTAGGATTCAGCTGAGGGTATCTGAGCACGGCAGGACCTCGCTGGCCTTCCTAGTCTTGGTATCCCTCTGCCCTCCTTCTGCAGCAGGTGTTCCACCTGCTTTTTAGAAGGGAGGAGCCATGTCCTAGCCGCATCTTCAGCTTCCAGTGGCTCTTGCTCCATGCTCACACTGCCTTCATGCTGTGTGACTGTGGACCAGGATGTAGGATTGGTTCAGGGAAAAACTATAACTTGGAGGGACAACTGTATCTCCTCCCTTCCCTTCAGGCTATGTCTAGGTCATCTGAGGAGGGGCAGGAGTGGCTCAGGAGGGACCAGGCCTGTGTGCTGCAGTCTCTGTCCCTGGCTGCAAGGAAGCTCCAGAGCAGGCAGCTGCTGGCCTCACCAATAACCCTACCTTTGCTCACCAAAGGGATCTAAACTCAGCTTCTCACCAGTGGATACAAAAAGCACCAGGCAGGGAGGGACAGAGGGTGTCTCTGGCCAAATGAGATAAGGGCCTGGCCCTGCATGCACCTGAAGCAGGAAAAGGCTGGGGCTTTCACTGAGGAGATGGACGGCACAGCATCTAACACGGTGAGCAAGTAACTGACCCTATTAGTCTCCAGGAGGGGCCCTGCCAATCCCAGTCAGCCCAGTTCAAATGACATGATTCAGCAGCCTGAACAATGCCAAACGAATGTGGACCATGAGAGTTAATTTTTATTTATAACAAAACCACAAAGATGGTAGAAAATAGAATATTTTGTAAATCTTACACAACTACATGTAATTTTAATGTATTTTTGCCCATTAATATAGAGTATCACTTTTGCCATAAGAACAAAGGAAGATTTTAATAAAGTCTTTGTTAATTTTAACGCAAAATATATGAAAAAGCATAGCTGAGGTCATCTAGTTCTATTAGACAAATAACAACTTTCCCTCTGAAAATGGCTAAGCCTAAGGTTAAATGATTAAGAATAATTATTAGACTTAGTAACTGTCAGGGCAACTCAAAATTACTTCTGAATTTATCTTTGCAGGGCATATTAAAAAAAAAAAAAAATAAAAAAAAAAAAAAAAAAAGAACAAAACGAACCAAAACCTCAAAATGCCCCTTTGTTCCCCAACCCTTTCTTTCTCACCAGCTGGCTGGAGAAACTCCTCCTTACCTTCAGATTCTAGTTTTTCTGCATTGAGCGGGCTGGTTGGTGACCCTGTTGAGGATTTCCTGCCACTGAGCCCTGAGATCATTGCCATAGAGGACAGTCTTCCAATGGCTCTCACAGCATTGCCCGTTTTCTGGAAAATAGACACGGGGGTTGGACTCAGGCGTTGTCCCTGGTTCCAGCTGGGTAGTGCGAGGGGCTGCGGGGAGTAGAGCCCAGCCCCAGAGAAGCAGCTGTTCCCCGGATCAAGGACCTCCCGAGAGCCGAGGTTCTGCCAGAGGAGCGAACCCAACCTTGCTCTGCTCAGCACTGTCAGTGTGTCAGAAGATGTTCAGAGAATGGAATGGGGCCTGGAACTGATGTGTGCGTTAATGTGACTAAACAAGGTCAACATGAGACAAAAACCCTTTTCATACAGTGCTTCAACTCCCATAAAAGGGATAGTTTATATAAAGCAACTGCAGGCTGAGACAGCTCCAAAGACTTATTGCTGACTGGGCCTAGCGGGGCTGTTTCTCGTAAAACAGTGCCAGTGATGTGATTATAATTGGCCAAGAGAATAGTTACTACGGATCCCACAAGTCCTGATGCAAAAATAATCATGATAATAATAACAGAGCATCCTGTTGACCTTGGGCAAGTCACTTAACCACTCTGAGCTTCAGTTTCCTTCTCTAGAAGGAGGCGGCTGGACAAGATGATCTCCAAGGTCCCATTTAGCTCTGTTTATAATTCAGAGACTTAAGTGATTTGGAGAAACACTCTGGCTGGCCCCAGCACAAGTCTACGATGCAGTGAAGCTCTGGAGGGGAGCTCTTCCCTGGTGTGCATTCAGGCACCGAAAAGAAGCATCGAAGAAATAAAAGGCAACGGCACTTTGCTTTTCGGTGACTAGACTTGGGAGAGGAAAGAATTTCTGCTGAAAAAGATCAGAACTTGAGATGTAATTTATTTACATTGTGAAAATTCTACCAAGCATAGGATCCCTAATAATGTACAATTGTGTCTTATTGTTTTTTTATCTTTCAATAAGTTTTTCACCTTTTTTCTAAGGTTAACAGGAATGACTAAGAAAACTAAAGCACAACCAAGTCTTTCCACCCCTGCACCCAAAGCATCTTTTTTAGGCATCTAAAAGCTGTGCATCCAGACAACAGATGTCACCACAGACTGGCTACTTGTCCCCCCTGAGAGAGGAAGGAAACAGCCTCTTCATAGGCAAATGGCTTGTACTCATTGCACCTCAAATTCTGCCGGCAAAGCCATTTTCCTCCTGAATTCACTTCACATGCTTAAGTACTTCAGTAAAACCTCACCATTTAGGACTACTTGGAAAGCCAGTAAGCTTCAGTAAAAAGAGTGATCATTTTGAAAATAAATAACTTCTGGGTGCTAAGGAAACATACAGAAAATTGTGTGCGTGTGTGTATGGTGAAAGAGGAGACCTACTGCGGTGGGCAGGATGACCTTACTGTCATGCCTCCTGCCGTCCTTGCTGCAGATTGCTTTCATGCACTTTGGACAGACATTCTACCTTGCTCTGTCCCCTAGCCATCCCTTCTCGCACACATCACACTGTGTGGTGTGGGTATGTTTCTGGCCTCTGCTGCCACAGTGAGGCTGGGTCACTGAACAGAATCCAGGGAGCCCCAGGTGGAGGTGATGAGGAGGGGAAGACGGTGAGAGATGAAAACTGAACAATTTAATGGTGAGTAGAACCACGGTGTGGCCCTGCAGAGAATGCCTCTGCAGGCTCGGGCCACGTGGCAACCTTTCCTGCTCTTCTGGCAGATGTTACTGGTTCAGCCTGTTTGTTGTGGTAGCCGGAGTGTAGAGAGATCCAGCTCTTCCCATGGGATGTTATCATGCCTTCAGGAACAGGTAAGAGGTGGTACAAGCCATGGCAGCCCTCCCTGTGTAGTCAATGTCAGACCAGCCTGCTTCCTAATCAACCTGATTCTCAGACTCTGCCCTTCTCTGCTCTCCATTCCCTTTATCCAACACAGATTGGTTTGTCATGGGCTAGGAGCCTCTAAACCCAGAGCGTTTGTTCTCAACAAGGGATAGGTTAGTTCTCTAACCCTAATTGCTGGGAGACCTTGTGCAAGTCAGTTCCCTTCTCTGGGCCTCAGGAGCCTGGGAGCAGAAGATTCTAATCTCCCTGCAGTTCCAGACCTCTACAGAAAGACGCTGGTTTATATCCACAAATCTGTAGCAAGGAACACCCGCCTTGAACCCATGAGCTCCCCATTTCCAGACATCAGGATTGAGACTGATCAGGACTGTCTTCACCTGTGTGGTGTGGAGAGATGATGCCTTTTCTCTTCCAGGTTTTATTTCATAACAAAGTGACTAATATGAACCTATTAGAACGAGGAAACAAAAGTTATAGTATTTCAGAGGAACTAGTAAATATATTAACAAATAAATAGGTCTCACATCTGGAGAACTTTTCTAAAAAATGGAGATATCCAGCATATAATTTCTAAAACATCAAAAATATCTGGAAATTGATTTGTGAAAAAAATTGCTGAGGAAGTTATTTGTCAGAACTAGAAATGAATCTATGGGTATGTTCTAGTCTTCCACTTTTATGCCTTTGAGCTGACAACTTGTTATTGCTTTACTATCCAAGGACCTTTGGAAATTTTTGGAACATCAAGATAGCCAAGTTTTAATTTTGTAATTTCTGCCTTCATTTTGAGAAAGTCTTTTTCTCATTTGAGGGCAATTGCCCAGGCTGAATTCCTGTGTCACCGGTGGGCAGTATCTGCACCAGCCTCCTTCATGCAGCACAAGTTCCCTGCCACTTGGAGAGCTTGTGGGGCCAGCCATCTTGGCTTGCCGAGGCAGGCTTGTGGAGTTTCCCGGGATTAGGGTCTTTTGATGCCAATACCAAGACATTCCCTGGCAAATATATGGCAAGCTGGTTACCCACACACCGGTCAGTCATCAAAGTCCCCCATATATATCATTAGCCCCAAGACTACAGTTTCCCCTGAGCAGGGCATACCATCCAAATGGGATGGTCAAGAATACTCCATGCTATGCTGAGTCCAGTGTTTTCTCCCCTAATGCCCTTGGTTCATACTGCTGGGGTCTTTATGGTTCCCGGAAAATAAAGATGGCTACCCATGGGCCTCTGATGTCTAGTCTTTTGCTTCCAGTGTGCATGCAGAAACGCTATTAATCTGCTCAACCTACCTGCCCCCATTGCTGCACCTTTCCAACATATCTTTGTAAAATTCTTTTAATATAAATTTAAAATATACCTTCTTTCAGAATAACTTCATTCTAAGATGAGTAATACGATTACCCATACGTATACGAGTCATCTATACCCAGCCTAGCTTTGTTTGTAGGGATTTGTTCCCATGACACTTCATTCCTCCTAGGGCTTTTTATGAAAACCACACCAGAATAACAAGAAGGTGCCTTCTCTGGCACAGCTACAGAGAGTTCCGGGCCATCTGAGCCTACCCTTCCCCTCTCCCTCTGCCCCTGCTTGCAGCCCATTCCTTCCCACTCCACCCCACCGCACAGAACCTTGGCTGCTGCAAGAGGGAACCCCCATATTCCAAGGGGAGCTAAGGCCCTGGTGCTTGCAGTTAAAATGCAGAAAACATTTTCCCAAGGGAGCAACGTAACATGAAATGGTTAGAGCTGTTAACAGGGAAGCTACTCTTCAGGGACGCTACTTGTTGAATGGGAATTTTGTGGACAACTTTTGCGGAAAAATCATTTCCAAATGTCGCCATCTATACTAAAATATAAAATTAAGTTTCCTTCTCTGAATTCTACCCTTTTCTTCCCCTGCCCTTCCAGAAAACCCTATGGCTAATAATGCTGTAAACAAGAAGAAAAAGAAACTGATTAAAATATCAGCATAGGCTGGGCACTCAGCACTTCGGGAAGCCAACGCAGGAGGATCGCTTGAGGCCAGGAGTTCAAGACTAGTCTAGGCAACATAGTGAGACCCTGTTTCTACCAAAGTTAAAAAAATAAAATAAAATTAGCCAGTGTGGTGGCATATGCCTATAGTCCCAGCTACTTAGGAGGCCGAGACGAGAAGATTGCTTGAGCCCAGGAGGTCGAGACTGCAGTGAGCTATGCTTGTACCACTGCCCTTCAGCCTGGGTGACAGCATGAGACCCTGTCTCTTTAAAAAAAAAAAATCAGCACCACTGTGATTCCCTGACTGATTTAACTGAAAAATTCCCTTTGCCTCCTCTCCTATTTCCTCATCTCTTCTCTGCTCCTAGCCCCTGGGTTTAGGCGTCCTCCTGGCTTTGGTTCGTCTGCAGATGTTCCCAGGTGATAAGGCTGCCCCTTAATCTATAGCCTCAGCCAAGTAATATCCACTTAGACTCACTGCTCTGAGGACTGCCCCGCCCTGACATCAGCTTCCCTATCCTTTCCAGAAATATTTCTTTGAGACCTTCTGGCCACAGGATTATTAATACAGCTGACCTTTGATTTTGTAGATCCTCTCCCCTTTTTTTATAAAAGAATATTTGCTACTCAAATCCCAGTGGCACCAAAAGGTAAGCAGTTACAGATGTTTCAACTCACCTTGCACTTGAGGGAGGCCTGGAGACCCACCTAAACCTTCCCATGAGGGGCGTAGCCAGGAACTGACTTCCACGGCGGAGGAGCACAGCTGAGATGTGCTGGGGATGGTGGTCACTTAAACTCCACACTTGTGGCCCCCATTTGCCTTTGCTCCCTCTTTCAACCTCTGAGTGACACTCTACTTTTGAGGCAACTGTGATTTAGTCACCTGGTGTGGCAAATGACCAGTGTTCCAGTTGCCTCCAACACAGTAATTTCCCTTTTCTCTGCCACCCAGTCAGTCTCAATGCCCCTGGGTCCCTTGAGTATCCAGCTAAAAGACTCTGCTCCTGTCAAGCCAAGCCCAGCCAGAATGGGTCCAGCTCCCACCTCTGTGCCTTCTCCTCCACATGTGCAGTCCTCTTCTCTGTTCTGACTCAGGTTCCACACCTGATTCAAACTCTTGAGCCTGGAGCATTTCTTCATAATCACATCCAACTCTGGTTGCGACCAGGTCGGTTCTATCCACACACACCCGTGGCTATGGAGAGCTATCCGGATAGTTTATGTATCTTGGTGCGCATTACATCCTTTCATGTCTAGTTGCTTCAGTTCCCCCATTGTACTACATGGTCGCTGAGTATAGAAACCATGTCCTCTCAATTGCTTGAACCTGGGAGGCAGACTCTGCAGTGAGCCGAGATCGTGCCACTGCACTCCAGCCTGGGTGACGGAGTGAGACTTTGTCTCAAAAAAAAAAAAGAAAGAAAGAAAGAAAGAAAGAAAGAAGGAAACCATGTCTTCTCCAGCAGCCTAAGAATTGTAATTCTAGGCCAGGAGCAGTGGCTCACGCTTGTAATCCCAGCACTTTGGGAGGCCGAGGTGGGCGGATCACGAAGTCAGGAGATTGAGACCATTCTGGCTAACACGGTGAAACCCTGTCTCCACTAAAAATACAAAAAATTAGCTGGGCGTGGTGCCGGGTGCCTGTAATCCCAGCTACTCAGGAGGCTGAGGAAGGAGAATGGTGTGATCCCGGGAGGCGGAGCTTGCAGTGAGCCGAATTCGCACAACTGCACTCCAGCCTGGGCGATAGAGTGAGATTCCATTTTGAAAAAAAAAAAAAAAAATGGTAATTCTAATTGTAGTAATAAAAATGATAAAATAGATGATGATGGTGATAAACATCCTGTGGTTTTGGATAATAATTTTATCCACCCATGCCTTTTATCAGAGGCAGTCTTGGAGTTCAGACTATGTGTTTTGCAGTCAAGCTCTGGGTTTGAATCCTGACCCTTCTGCTTATTAGCTGTGTAACCCTGGATGGCTTTCCTAACCTTTTCTCTGCCTCAATTTTGTCTGTAAAGTGGGGATAATAACAGTACCTGCCTCCTAGGGTTAAAAGATTTAGTGCATAGATAGTGCTTTAAATGGTCCCTGACAGATGGCCTACCTTAATACCTATTAGCAACTGGGATCATTTTTGGACACTTACCATGTACCAGGCATTGTACTACTAAACGCCACATGACGATGATCTTGTGTAATTCTCATAATTATCACAACAAAGCTGTGAAGTTGGTACTATTATCCTCACTTTACACATGAAACAAATCCACAGCAAGGTTACGTCATTTGCTAAAGACACATTAACATACAACCTTCCTAGATGGTGGGACCATGTCTCTCTCATGTGCCATCCTCCTTCATCATAAAGAGATGTGAGACCATCATGCTACCATCCCATTCTCAGGGTTGACAAATGGACCTCAAAGTGATGTTGCTCATCCCAAGCCATGAAGACATGAAATGTCAGTGGCTTTACCTGAGTAAAGGTTAAGGGTCCTCTGGGACAAAGGTGAGCAGGAACAGAGAGACAGCTAAGCTAAGAATCCATCCCATCTCCTCGAGAAAGGGACTCTGCACTCAGGACTAAGCACACCACTGTACCTTAATCAGCTGCCTAAACTGGTCCCAGACTGCTTCAGAAACGAATTTAAACTTTCTTGGTGTGAGGCCAGGGCAAGCTAGGAATGAAAGTGGCTTCAGCAACACAAATATGAGGGGTAATATCCCAGTCCAAAGTGACCCTCGCATTACCTGCCATTTCCTTCTTGCCATGTACTTCTTCATCCGGTCCTTGGAGAGTTTCTTGGCCTCCATGTTCTTGGTATCTTTCATTAGCCATGGATGCTGAAGGCACTGTGTGCAGTCCAGGCGGTTTCTGACAGAGGCAGAGATCAGGAGATTTTTGAGCAGGAGGAGACCTCAGAGACCACTGGTTAGATCAGAAATGGGAGGCCAGCTGTTCCCGGGCACGAGGGCAGAGGCCAGGGCCCCCTGCTCCCGGACCATCCACCGTGATCAGGATCACTGTGCTCTTCACTTTTCTCCTCACTTGGTCTGGGTCACACTAACCAGAACCAGCATGGGTCAGTGTTATGAAAGCCTAAGCACCAAGGAAGCAACTGGGCTCCATGGCCTGCTCTTGGGGTCAAGGAAGAGTAAGTGCTGCAGGGCAGATGTTTCTGGGATTCTTGGGGTCGAGGAAGAGTAAGAGTAAGTGCTGCAGGGCAGACGTTTCTGGGACTGGCTGGCACCTATTTCAGGGTGGTGTCATTCTGCTGGTCCTATGAGGGCTGGGGCCCACAGAGCCTAATCCTCCTGCCACCCTCTCTGGAGGAGGGGAGAGTTAAACCCTAGGATAAAACCTCCAGCAATCAATGAACTTTCATGTTTTATGTCTTATGGTGTGGTTGAGTATCAGGTTTTTCCTGTTACAACTCAAAGAAGTAGGTCCTGCATATAGCCTATGAATTATGACTTCTTTGGAACTGCACTGAAACTCACTTCATCTTTCTGAAAGCTCTAGAAACACTTTAGATCTAGAAACATTTTAGAGCCATTGCCTTAACTGTAACAGGACTAAGAAAGCCTAAAGAACCAAATGCTAACATATATAGAAAAATGACTGGAAAGAAGTATAGCAAAATGTAGTGATCTTTAGATAAAGGGATTATAGATGATTTACATTTTATTATATTCTTCAAATCCTCTATAATTTGCATGCATTACTTTTATAATAGAAAGCTTTTTTTTTTTTTTTTAAAGTGCTGATAGGTGGTGATTTCTGGTTGAAGAGAGGCTGGCTATAAGAGTTTATGGGAATTTAGTGTCTTGATCTGTTTGAATAAGATCAGTTCTTTGTTTAATCCATTTTATGAGCACAGAGGGATCCAGTACAGCCTGTTACTGACTTAATTCAAGGTCAGATGAGAAAATAAGATATATACACACAATACCTTGTTTACCAAATCTTCAGTGAATAAAGCTTGGATGACAAAAGCCATCGTTGTACCAGAGTTACTGAGGAGGTTTTCATCTCCTGAGGCACCTTGGGTGTGGGGGTCCCTCATACTGGAAGGTAATTTAGACTTCCCACAGTATCTTAGTTCTCCTTGGGTCATGCCCATTTCTGATACAGACTGTGACAGCAAAAGGCTAAAAAGACCTCATTGTCAAGGAGTATAGAATGTGGCCTCTGGAAGAGTTTGGCCCTGAATGGCTAAAAAGACCGAGAGTGGGGTGCATCACAGAAAAGCCTGACAGAGCCATCTGAGACACTCCAATATTGCTCCTTCAGCAGCTAACTGCACCCTCCTGCCCTGAACAGCTGTTCCTCCTCGGGGGAGCCATCGGCAGCCTTGCAAGGCTGCAAAGTCACCTGGGAGTGCAGAGCTTCCTGCCTGCCCTGGAGTCAGGCCCCTCCCCTTCTCTCTAGCATGCCACCCATGTCAATACCACCCTTCTTGGCAAGGCTACAACTACTCCCTGGGATTGCCAAGTATAGCTCTAAGCTCCTCTGCACCCCTACAGTCAGACTCTGCCTCATCTACTCACCTATTTGCAGAGTGGGTGAGCTGCCCAAAAGGCCAGCTGTTCTCACCTGAGTCCTACTGCTCCCTTTCCCTGGGCAGCCTTCCCTACACATGGAGAGCCCAGGACAGTTCCTTCCAGGAGATTCTGTCTAGGCACATCCACTGCCCACCTTCAGTCAACCTCCCACTCTGGTCTCCCCTACAACTCCAAGCTCTAATCTTGCATTGAAACCTGGAGGGCCTGAGTCCCTGACCTTTCCCCACAGCCCATGCACACTGGCCTCCCACTGTTCACTTCCCTATGTTCACAGCTGCAGCAGGCACAGGTGGGGAACCTCAACAGAGGCAGAGCTGGGAGAGGGCTAAGCCCAGTGGTCTGGGATCACACCTCCCTTTGGCCAGATGTTAGAAGGTACCTGGCTGTATTCAAGCATGCAGTTATTAAATAACTAAGATAAAAAAACACTAAGCCAGAATAATAATAATCTGGGGATATGATTGGGACCCACAGAGAAGGTCTAAGATGCCGCTGTCCTCTGCTCTTGCTTGTTGAGAGGGTCCTTCCCCTGCAGCCCCTGAAGAGGGCTGTGGCTGGCCACAACTGTACCCAGAAAATAAGAAGGGCAGTCATTATTCACACAGAACAGCTGCCCCTCGCTCTGCAACGTGGTCAAGTGTCGCTTTTCAGGTCAGGTGTCTGAGCTTCTGAAGGTGAATTCCATGTCTAGCTCCAGAGGGCAGGGCCTAGGAAGTCGCCTCCCTGACCCACATGCACTCAGGTCTCTTATCACGCCCACCCTCCCTTCCTCAGGGAATGCTAGGAACGACTCAAGGTGGGGTGGCAAGGAGGGTGCCCCAACAGGCAAAGGAATCCCCCTTTGCTTCCCAACACAGGGCAGGGAGTGGGGAAGCAAAGACTGAAATCCCAACTCATTACTTCATATCTTTCTTCAGCAGATTGCTGATGAAATCCTTGGCATCGTCGGAGATCTCATCGAATGCCTCGTCGTCGAAATCCCAGGTGGCTGAGGTAACGTTGGCCAAGGTTTCATTATCGTTGTCTCCCATGAAGGGGGAAAGGCCACTGACTCTGCAGAGACAAGAGCAGGACAGCAGGTGTGGCTAGGAAAGGGCGTGCTAACTGAGGTCAAAGGTGAGGGTTGGCCAGCCTCCCCACCCCCAAACTCTTCTTGGCAAGGGCCAAGGCTCTGTGGGCCTTGCACCTGCCTTTCTTTCACTTGTGGAAAGAAAAGAGGGTGTGGTTCACAGCCCTGTCTTTTCTTGGTCACCTGCCTCTTGATACCACCTACCTGTGAAGCTGAAGTGCAGTGGGTTTGCTTTAGATTACGGGCTTCTGCAGGGTACACGGCAGGGCTGATAAGTCCCTCTGTCCTGGTCTTCTATTCTTCCCCAAAGCCCAGGCTACAGCCTTCTCCAAGCCCCTTCCTCCTGTGCTCCTGTCCCCTCTCCGTGGACCCAGCACATGGTAGTGATCACCACGGCACCCTTCTGTCCCCTCCCTCCCAGCTCTCTCCACTCTCCACACACCTTCAGCTCCAAGAAGAGGGCCCAGCACATAGGAGAGGCTCAGCAAGTGAAGTGTGTGCCCGACGGATAGATGGACTTTGAATCGGCAATGTAGGTTCAGGGAACCTGAGGCATTCATGCCAAACTAGAAAACTTCCCTATGAGGTGCTGTGGCAGAGGACAGAGTGCAGCCTCTCTGCTTGCTGGATGACCTTGGACAATTCCCTGACCTGTGTCAGTTTTCTCCTCTAAAATGGAGAAGCTGCCATTTAACTATAGGGTGGTCACTTCTTCATCCTCAGCAGCATCGTGATGGCAGCAGACACTTATTAAACTTTTTCTATGCGCCAGGCACGGGGTCAAGTGCCTAAAATAAGTGAACTCACTTAATCTTAACACTGCCCTATGATGCAGGTAATTCTTATAACTTTGTTTTACAGATGACGGAATTGAGGCACAGCCCAGGCTCAAGTAACCTGCCCAAAGATTCGCAGCCAGTGAGACTGGAACCCAGGTATCTGCCTCTAGAGCCTGTCCTCTTAAATGCTATACTATGCTAACATTTCTGTGAAGATGAAGTAAATTGCAGTGTTCAGCACTGGCACCAGGCCTGGTCCACAGTAAGGAGACAGTCCATGCCCGGAGACCTCATGCAGTTCTGCTGGGTTCCCTCCACTCCCTCACCAAGCTGTGAGTGCAGGAATGACTCTGTGACCAGCAGCTGAAGCCAAATAAACTTTATAAGGTAAGGAATTTCAAAACAAAATAGATCAGATTTGCGGCGTATTGACCTTACCTCTCACCTCTGTGCACCTCACCTTCATAGCAACAACCCACCCCACTGTTCACGCGGGCCTCGTGAGCCAGCCTCATGGGTGTTTGACCTGCACAGTTGCCCAGAGTCCCACCCTTAGACAGGCCCTGTGCTTGGTTTAATGCTCTGCTGCTGTCATCTCAAGATTCTCAATAAGGTTTGAACAAGTGGCCCCACCTTTTATGTTGCAAATTATGTAGCTGTTCCTGCCCTGACCTCAGCTGAGCCCCATGAGATGGGTCTGGGGGCCAGGCGTGGTGGCTCACGCCTGTAATCCCAGCACTTTGGGAGGCCGAGATGGATGGATCACCTGAAGTCAGGAGTTCGAGGCTAGCCTGGCCAACACAGTGAAGCCCTGTCTCTACTAAAAATACAAAAATTAGCTGGGCGTGGTGGCGAGCACCTGTAATCCCAGCTACTCGGGAGGCTGAGGCAGGAGAATCGCTTGAACTCTGGAGGTGGAGGTTGCAGTGAGCCAAGATTGTGCCATTGCACTCCAGCCTGGGCAACAAGCAAAACTCAATCTCAAAAAAAAAGAGAGAGAGAGAGAGATGGGTCTGGGGCCCTCCAGCCATCAACCTGTCAAGTTAGGGCTTTACCAGTGTCTCTTCTCCCAAATGCTTATGAATCCATCATCATAAGCCAAGCACTGACAGCTTCAGGAGTAAGGCTTTGGTTGAGTTTGACAGAACAAAACCCACTTGAAATACTGGGAGAAAAAGCTTGCCATGGGAGGAACCCTCTAGTGAAACCTTTTGTAAAGAGAAGAAAGCTTTTACAATGTGAATTGTCTCATCCTAATCAATATATTTGTGTTTCTGAAAAATAGGTTTTTGTGGATGGGATATTTTTAAAGCAAGACCCTGATTTATGTTTTAAGAAGGCAAAGAGAATCATTCTTCGTCATGTCCCCATGAGGGAAGGGTGGGCATTTACCTGTCCCAGAGTCTGCACTGTTATCTGCTGCTCCTTTCCCCTCTCTGGGCCTCAGTTTCTCCTTTTATACATCAAGAGGACTAGGCTAGATTTCCTACGGGCCTCCCAGCTCTCTCCGTCTCTGTGACCCTGACCCCCATGTGGCCCATGCAAGCCCCTTCAGGAAGCAGCCTGTCTCTTGCCTGTCAGCCACCTGCTGCTTCTTTACATTTTCCACTGGAAACAGAGAGCGGGGAAGTCCGGCAGTACTCCAAAAGATGGCAGGAAAAGCAAACAACCCTGCTGTGGAATGCAGAAAGTTCCCCTTCTGCAAACCTCCTTTCCTTATTAGGAACTATAATCCTGCAAAGATAGGTCTTAATCTCTGCAACTCCGGGCATAGTCAGGGAGAGCCTCCTCGCTTCTGGCCTCTGGCGCTCTTCCTTCTTGGCAGCCTATTCATCTGAAAACTCTCCTCGCCCTGCCTGGCTCCTCGCCTGCCCAAGTTTCCCCAGCATTCTCCCTATTAAAGAGCTCGTGTCTAGAATAAAAAATGGAATACATACACAGCATGTTGACAAAGAGGGTGTTCGAATTTTCAGTAATGCTGTTGCTAGGTGGTGGGGTTTTAGAGGATTTTAAAAAACCTTTTTTGGGGAAGTTTTTCTTTATTGCTAACATTTGCATAAGGGATCATGTCTTTTAATTTTTTTTTTTTTTTTTTTTGAGATAGGATCTTGCTCTGTTGCCCAAGTTGGAGTGCAGTAGCCATCTCAGCTCACTGCAACCTCTGCCTCCTGGGCTCACATGATCCTTCCACCTCAGTCTCCTGGGTAGTTGGAACTGCAGGTGCGTGCCAACACACCTGGCTAATTTTTTGTATTTTGGTAGAGATGGGGTTTCACCATGTTGCCCAGGCTAGTCTCAAATTCCTGAGCTTAAGCAATCCTCCTACCTCCACCTCCCAAAGTGCTGGAATTACAGGCATGAGCCACTGTGCCCAGCCTTGTCTTTTTATTTAGAAAATAGTCATTATTCTTATTTTTTATTTTTTTGAGACAGGGTCTCGCTCTGTTACCCAGGCTGGAATACAGTGGCATGATCATGGCTCACTGCAGGCTCAACCTCCCCAGGCTCAGGTGACCCTCCCACCTAAGCCACCTGAGTAGCAGGGACCACAGGTGCACGCCACCATGCCCAGCTACCTTATGTATTTCTTGCAGAGATGGGGTTTTGCCATGTTGCCCAGGCTGGTCTCAAACTCCTGGGCGCAGGCCATCCACTCACCTTGGCCTCCCAAATTGCTGGGAGTACAGGCATGAGCCACTGCACCCAGCTAGAAAACAGTCATTATTTGTTAAAAAAAATCAACCAGTCAACAAATAATGTTAGTATTAAAACACCTCTTTATCTCCCTGGTCTCCTCTAGTTTTTAACTAAGAGATTGATCTGTTTTTCACAAAACTGTAATCAGTCTGGGCAAGTCCTTGGATGCTTTACTTTTTCTTCACTGGATATATCAAGTACAGACAGACTCTACACATTGATTTTTAATGGTCAAATACTAGTCTTTGGTCATGAATGCAGGGCATTCTAATTTCTTAATTCTCAGCTCATTGCAAAAGAAATTCCCCCAGGGAATCTGATGTAGCGGCCTGTTTGGCTCTGGGGGCAGAAGGTTAGGAGAGCAGAGGGTGCAGAAATGCCTCTTGGACTACACTTTCTCTCTCTCTCTCTCTCTCTCTCTCTCTCTCTGTATGTGTGTGTGTGTGTGTGTGTGTGTTTTAAGAAATGGGGGTCTTGGCCGGGCGCGGTGGCTCAAGCCTGTAATCCCAGCACTTTGGGAGGCCGAGACGGGCGGATCACGAGGTCAGGAGATCGAGACCATCCTGGCTAACACGGGGAAACCCCATCTCTACTGAAAAATACAAAAAACTAGCCGGGCGAGGTGGTGGGCGCCTGTAGTCCCAGCTACTCGGGAGGCTGAGATAGGAGAATGGCATAAACCCGAGAGGCGGAGCGTGCAGTGAGCTGAGATCCGGCCACTGCACTCCAGCCTGGGCAGCAGAGCGGGACTCCGTCTCAAAAAAAAAAAAAAAAAAGAATTGGGGGTCTTGCTATATCAGCCAGGCTGGTCTTGAACTCCTGACCTCAAGTGATCCTCCCATGATAGCCTCCTGAGTAGCTGGGACCACAGGTGCACACTACTGCACCTGGCTTCTGTGTTGTGTTTTAAGCAGCAGACAGATGCCCCGACTGTATCAGTGGCCAGCTAAGGGGACCACACATCTGCTGATGGAACTACTGACTGCTGGGAAGGGGTTAGTCTTTTATCCATATTAGCCATCTGATACTCTGGTGGGAGAGCTGAGAGGGCTGAGCAGGTCCACAGGAAGAGCTGTGCATCATTTTGTGGACTGGCCGAGGAAGCAGTGACGTGGGGTTTAGTTCTGTTAGTAAAAGTTGAAGGTGGTGGTGGGGCTTGAGGAGGGAGCAGGGATCCTAGGGCTGGAATCAAAGCACATTTCCAGGTTCAGCAGCAGAGAGGGCAGTGGCAGCCCCGGGTGGGGAAGGCAGAGGTTACTGGATCTGGCTGAGGAGCCCTGCAGCCAGACCCTGGTTTGAGGGGGCCCTGATGCCCCGGTACTGTGACCCCTCCTCAGCTGACTGGGCAGCTGTCACCAGAAGAGCTGACCTGCTTCCCTGCCACACACACCTCTCCTCCCTCCTGGCATCTCCCGACCACACACCAGGGTGGGGAGGGACAGCTGACAGCTGTCTGCACCATGGTGGGTGTTGGACAAACAAATAAGCATGAATGGGAAGGCTGTGCTGCTGGGCCCGGTCAGGAAGAGGCAGGAGGAGGAAGCAGAGCAGCCATTGCTGGTTCACTCTGGCTTGAGGGAGGCTGGAGAAGGCATTGTGAAGTAGGGTGAGGGACGGGCATGGAGAAGAGCTGTTGTGGCCTCCCCACAGGCAGCAAGGAAGTACCAAGTCCAGGAAGTAGGGGAGGGAGACAGCAGCGGGAGGAGTGCTGTTAAACGGAGGCAGGCTTAGGATTTCTTCCATACAGAAGTGTGGCCTCCAGCTCTCTGGTACTGTCACTTCCTGCCAGAAACCACATGGCTATTGCTAACTTCAGAAGGTCTCTAAGTACTCACACAACCTACTGTCTCCCTTCAGGATCTGGGGTGAGAGTGTAGGGGCTCCACGACCCCATCTGCTCCTTCCCTATAGGGCCAGGAACTGCCCTGATGGCTGGGCTGGGTGTGAGAGAGTAAAGTCACATCGTCCTGTGGTGACACGGTCTGTTGCCTTCCCTTCCAACTCCCTGGCCTCTCCATCTCTCACTGGCCTCAGAACTCCCTGGCCTCTCATCTCTCACTGGCCTCAGAAAGGAGAACAGGAGGGGCTCTCTGGTACAAAGGTGGAAGTTGCCCAGACAGGGACTGCCCGACAGATGACTAGGCTCCAAAGAGAGGGACAGAGTGGGGCAGAAGATGCCATGAGGGCCACCAGAGAGCCTCTTTTGGGTGCTCCCAGCAGTGGTTCCAGAGTTCTGCATAGCAGGAGCTTAAAAGATACCACCTCCTTGGCGCGAACGTTTTTTTCCAGCACGAGTCTCTGCTGAGAGCCCTGGCTTGGGAGGGGAACTCCCTGACTTCCATCCACGCTGAGAGAGTCAGCCTGGAAAAGCCCCAGAGGGCAGTGGCTCACAGTGGGGGTCCAGGAGCCAAGATGTGGCACAGGATTGATCTAGGCTGAGTCTGTGCCACCTGGCCTGTGTCCCTGCCACACACACCGCTCCTCCCTCCTGACAAGCACCTGCAGCATCAAAACTATCTTCTCCCCATTTCCAAAACTCTGCCCTAGTTCTTGGTCTTTGCTTTAAAAGTAATCTGGTAAACAAGGTAGCATAGTGTCCAAATTACTATGTTCCTCCACCTAAAAGAACTCTCATTTGACAATAAAGTGCCCTTATGACCCAGTTATTCTAGTTCTAGATTATACATCCAACAGAAATGTACAAATATGTTCACTGAAACACATGAACCAGAATGCTTCCAATGGCCAAACTGGAACCCACTCAAAAGCCTATCAAAGCAGAACGGATAAATTAACTGGATTATATTCACACAACGGGATACTATGTAACACTGAGAATAAACAGTCTACAATGACACATAGTACTATGAATGAATCTCACAAACGATGTCAAGCAAAAAAAGCCAGACACTTCTTTCTGTATTATTTCATTGACATTAGCCATGAGGGTAATGGTGACCTCTGGGGGTTGGTAACAGGGAGGGGCACCAGAGGGCTGTGGGGGCCTGGCAGTGCTTGGTTTCTTGATCTGAGTAGAGGTTACACTGGTGAAAACTTAGTGAGCAGTCTAGTCACTGCTCTGTCACAGACCGATTGTCCTGGTTTGCCTGGGACTGTTCCCATGTTAGCATCAAAAGTCCTATATTCTGGCAAACTGAGACGGCTGGTCCCCGGCCCGACTGTGGGAAGTGGGCAGCCACATGGGATTCCTTGGCCCCTGTCACCTCAACGCCACATGAAGATTGAATCCCTGCCATGACCCACTCTTGGGTTTGTTCTGAGGATCAAACAAGGTCCTATGTGAAAATCTGTAGCTGCAGAAGATCCTGATGCCACAGCGGTGGGAAAACCCACTGAAGAATCAACAGTAAGGCAAGTCTCCATGACAGCTGGAGGGGGACCCTGCGACCAAGCCAGACCACAGGGCAGCTGGGGCTGAACAGAGAGCTGACCAAGGACTGCTTCTCAAGGGTCTGGTGTTTTTCCGGGGGCCAGAGGTTAACATGGCCCAGGCCTGGGGCCACCCTCAAAGGGGCAGGCTGGCCCCGCCCCCTACCCTGCTATTCCTTACTTATCTAGGGAGCCAGGAGTCAAGCTCGGTCCAGCTGCTGTCTTCACTTGTCAGCGCCCCTTCTCTAGGAGGGGGCGGAGCAGGGAGACGGGCAAGGCAATGCACACCTGGCCCCGCGTTTTTCTGCTGATCTGGGGGAGGCTGTGGTGGTGCGGCTCATTCCAGGCAGGAAAGAGGATAACTGGGCTACAATGCCTGTGGCGCAGGTTCCACTGAGGGGACTGTCCTAACAGGCCACAGTGAGTAAAGCTCCTGAGCATGTGAAAAAGTCACATTGCACAAAAGTCACCCCACTTCTGCTAAAGCTTTTGTAACACCAGCTTCTAAACCTGACTGTGCATCAGAATCACCCAGAGCCTTTTCTCACATTGGGGTCTGAAAGCCCCAGGGGTCTGAGAAAGTATTCCTAGAGGCCTTCCTCATTTTCTTTGAAAATGTTAAATTTTTCCTCTTGTTCTGACAGTAAAAACATTATCGAATGAAAGCATACACATCTGCATCTTTGGGGACACCATCCCATAACTGCATGTGGCCACACAGGTTCAGGGGCTGTCACACAAGTTCTGAGGCTAATGACTGTCCGCACCCTGGGGCTTCAGGGACTAAAGCAGCCAGAGCCCACCGAGAGAGTGTTCTCAAGCCTTGTTACTCAGAGCGCAGTCATTGAACCAGCACAGTCGCAGACCTAGAGCCTGTTAGAAATGTAGCATCTCAGGTCACCCAGACCTGAACAAAAACCCTGCAATGTAAGGAGCTGCCTAGGTGAGTCAGGCATGTTAATGTTTGTGAAGCACGCTGGCCTAGATGGCTGACCTCCCCTCTCCTACAGTATTGTTCATTGAAATGGCTTTGGATTTCCCACCTGATTTTTCAATTCTAATTACTGTGTTACTTTCTTTTGTCTGTTCATCCCATTGAAGGCTCGATCATCAATAGTGTTTATTAATTCATCCATATACTGGACTCAGAGATGAGGCTGGTAGTTGGGGTCCCCATGCCATAAGGATGGAGTGTTATGCCCTGAAGACAATAAGGATGCCCAGAGATAGGCCCCTGGCCTCCTGCCCTCCTTCTTTGTATACCCACACAAGTGAAGTTTTATTATTTGGTGCCAGCCACATTTCCCATCCTTCTGACCAAAGGCCACAGGCTGGCCAGCCTTGGGGACAGTAAGCTCCCAGAATGGGGATCTCGGCATGTGTAGCTACATGATGCTACAGAATATGCAGGCTACTGACTTCCTGGGAGCCCAGGAGCAGGGTGGGCTGCCAGGGATGGGAGGGGAGCCTGCCACCCTCCTGACTCTGGGGCGGGCTCCCCATCATGACAACGGCAGGGCAGCCTGGGGACTCTCCTGTGGAAACCTCAGCCCCCACCCACCGGTCCATCAAGTGGTCCACCGGTCCACCAAGTGCCCCGAGACTCACAGGATGTAGCAGATGACCCCGATGCTCCACATGTCTGTGGCATAGCCGATGGGCTCATAGTTGATCACTTCAGGAGCCACAAACTCCGGGGTGCCAAAGAGGACCTTCAGGGACCCCGCATTCTCTGAAACCAGGATGGAGAGGGATAAATTGCCAGCACATCACGGAGCCCGCTTGAGGCCAGCAGCTGCCCAAATCTGTGTGTTGACCCCAACCTGGGAGGGGCCAGACACAGGCTTCGGCACAGAGAACAGGCACAGAGACATCTGACTTCCTTGTTAAACAGGTGCATCAACACACCAGTGAAACCAACAAACCGCACACTCACCTGAAATGTCCTCTTCAGGTTGGGCAGGGGGAGAAGAGGCCATTAAAGCACCTGCCCCTGAATGGTCTTTTTGTGAGTCTGTCTCTCTCATGAGTTAGTTCCCCTAGGCAGGGACTGTCACTTACGCTTAATAATAATCTCTAGCATTCACTATGTCCTATGTACCCCACTGGCAGCTTTACAAGGGTTCTCACCAACCCTAAGGGGTAGGTATAATGCCCGTGCTGCTGAGGAAGTGAGGCCCAGGGAAGTGCAGTGGTTTCCCCACCTCGTTAACAAGTGGTGGTCAGGACTCAAGCCCAGGTAGTCCGACTCCTGAGCCATGCTTACCACCACTCCTCCCTCCTGCCTCTCCTACTCCTCACACAGCTTCATGGCTGTCCTCCAGGAGCTGCTGGGAGGGTAGTTGGGAGAGGCTTCAACCCCAGGGTGGTACCTCTTGGCCATAAAGGACCAGAGATGCCTGTTAATATGTGCAAAAGGCAGGTACCTATGGTCTCGCTTAACTTTGCAGAGCTCACAGCAAATGTTCTAAAACAAAGCATTTAACAGCCCTCAGATGTGAAAGCTCTGCTCCAATTCCTGCCTCTCAGCCCTTTCTGCTACATTTTAGCCTTTTCCCAGTTCTCTGGTCCTTGGTGGACACTGTTGTTCCCACAATATCCCTCACCTGTGGAACCTGGACCTTGTGTTCCCTGGGCTCTGACACTGCCGACTCCTGAGGACAGCGGCCTCTCTATTTGTTTAATTTATTGGTGGTCACTGTTCAAAGGCAGGCCCTGTACGCCAGTCACTGCCTCTACCCTGTCCCGTTGGCAGGAGTGAGCAGAGCAGGCACACACACCCAGCGCTGAGGTGTGCTTCTCACCTGACCACGCTGACCACCAGACCAGTCGTGGTCTATTGGAACCTCGCCCCCCACCTTGCCCCTTTCCTCTTTATGACCAACACAGTCTCAGCCAGCACTGAGCGTCCTAGGAGACGTTTATTGGGTGGCATTCATTTGGCCCCTCCTTTCTACTCCCTGCAGGGTGGTGAAATAAAGCCAGCTCACCCCAGCCCTAGGGCTCCTTGCTAGCAGGGCAGTGGCTGAGAAGGGAGGATGAAGCTGTTTCCTCAATCACTGGGACATCAAAGGGCTGCAGAGGCAGGCTGTATGCAGGCGGAATGTGAGCCAGGTAGGCACCTACCAAAACGCTTTCAGGGCTGGCCTTGAGACCCTGACCGCCTCCCCCGTGACCTCTCTCCTGGCTAGCATAAGAGTCAGAGGTGCTACAGAGCACTCTCAGCAAGGTCTGGGGTCCTTGTTTCAACCCCAGCACATCCCCTGGCTCACAGTGGGACCTCCTGGGCAAAGCTATTGTGAACCCTTGTTTCCCAGTCTATAAGATGGGGCTCATAAAATCTACCCTGCCCACCTCATGGTGAGAATCACAGGGATTATTTTTATGTGAAAGTGCTCTAGAAACTGTACAGTATGATGCAGATGTACAGAGCCACCATCACCAAAATGACTTTTGCTGCTAATGGCACCAGAGTGAAAAACAAAAGGGGATAATCACCATCATATGTACACTAACACCTAAGCAGTCTTACTATGCGCAAGGCACTCTTCCCATCCTTTTACCTATATTAACACATTTGATACTCCTAACGAATCTGTGAGTTAGGTCCTACTATGATCCCACTTTTCTGATGGGGAATTTGAGGCTTACTGTCACATCCAGTAAGTGGTAGGGGCAGGATTCGAACCTGAGAAGTCTTCATGGTCTTGGATTTAACCCCAATATTGTACATTTCCTCTCACACTTAGTGTGAGGGGAAACAGCCACTGCAATACACGCTGGTGTCTGTGGGAAATGAGCCTTACCCAGCCTCCTGGCCAGACCAAAGTCGATGAGCTTGATCCTGGTGCCCGTCTTGTTGACACACATGATGTTCTCCGGCTTGAGGTCCAGGTGCACGATGCCCTGCTTGTGGATGTACTCCACCCCCTCCGAGATCTGCCGCATGTACTTGATGCACTCGCGCTCCGTCAGCTCGAAGTCCTCGTCAATGATGCGCTCAAACAGCTCACCTCCTGACACGCTGCGGGAACACGTGCACGGGGTGGTCAGGCCACAAGCTCACGGAGGCCAGGCTGGCAGGGAGTCTGGTCAGGGTAGGCTGGGGAGAAACTCGCAGGAAAGTCCAGGCAATGGGGGTGATGGGCACTTCCTGAATCCCCCACCCTTCCAACATGGAAGAAGGGTCAGGGCCTGGTTTCCCATCAGGGAACCCTGCCCTGCACCCACTACTGGAGACTCAGGGAAGCATCTACGCTAGGCAGTTTCAGAGGTGGGTGTGAACAGAGAGATCCAGACATGATCTTCTTAACAAAAAGAGTGACCTCTGAACAGTCTCTTTCCCTCGAATGACCACACATGCCTAAGGGAACATTCTTGTGCCCTAGTGTGTCTTTTAGTCACAGGGAACTCAAGTTCAAAATACTCACAGTTACCACAAGCATTTGTTTTGCATAGCCAGGAACAGAAAAATATCTTCAATCTTCAATAATAAGCCTCAGCAAATTTTCTAAAATTAGTTGGCTATAACCCATTATACCTACAGCTGTGACAGATCTGCTTACTCTGGCTAGGTCTATAGTATTGGTTTACTCCCTGAAGTCATAATTAACTGGTCTCCCCTGGACCTCTTCCTTGCCCCAGCTGTGTAATCCTTTCTACCTGGATAGGCTTTGGATCCTGGCTATGTCTAGTCAACTTGGCTTCTGCAGCCACAGGCATGCATCCTCTGCTAGGGACTGCCCCGGGGTCTCAGCCATCAGCATATCGCCCTTCAGTGCAAATGCACAGCCTGCCGCCTGAGTTGCACGAGTTGTCTCTGTTCCCCTGTCCTAGCCCTCTGACCCACCTTTCTTGGTCTCTGCTTAGCAAGTTTAAAGCATCTCTCTGGTAACTTATGCAGCACCCAGATATCAGTAAGCTCACTTTTCTTTTTTTCTTTTTCAATTTTTTTTTTTTTTTTTTTGGTAGAGACAAGGAGTTCAAAGTTATGTTGACCTATGATCACACAACTGCGCTCATGCCTGGGTGACAGAGTATGACCCGGTCTCAAGCGAAAGAAAGGAAAGGAAGGAGGAGGGGAGGGGAGCCCTGGCTGGTCTGGAACTCCTGGCCTCCAGCAATTATCTCACCTCAGCCTCCCAAAGTGCTGGGATTACAGGCATAAGCCATCATGTCTGGCTTATAACCAACCTTGCTTCCTTCCTTCTTTCCTGCCTGCCTGCCTTCCTCTGTCCCTCCCTCCCTCCCTTCCCTCCCTCCTTCCCTCCTTCTCCCCTCCCCTTCCCTTCCTTTCCTTTCCTTCGTTTTTGAGACAGGGTCTTGCTCTGTCACCCAGACTTGAGCGCAGTTCTGTGATCATAGCTCAACATAACTTTGAACTCCTGGGCTCAAGTCATCCTGTTGCCTCAGCCTCCCAAGTAGCTAGGACTATAGGTATGTGCCACCGCACCTGGCTTATTTTTTAATGTTTTGTAGAGACAGGGTCTCACTCTGTCACCCAGGCATAAGCTCATGTTTCTACAGTGGTCTGTAGGTCCACCAGTTGAACAAGGCCGGGTGGGTTCTGGGTCTGTCCTCTTGCAAGGGTATTTCCTCTCCTACAGAGAGTCCTCATGAAGAGGAAAGGAGTTGAGTTTGAATCCTGCTGCTGCCTTTTATGAGCTGTGTGACATTGGGCAAGTTGCTTAACCTTTCTGAGTCCCAGTTTCCTTATCTATCCCTGCCTCATAGAGTTTTTAGGAACGTAGGAACCTTTGTAAAATATCATGCCTGACACATAGAAGGTGCTCAACACTTCTTACTTATTGTCTGATAAGCTGTGGTAGGCTAGGTGGATCTTGTCACTGACCCCTGCAGGACAGAGACAGGGATGCACTGTGGGGCCCAGCATACCACAGCCTCTGCCACATGACACACACACTCACTTCTGGAAGGGCTGAACTGGAGAAGGTCAGTCTGTGCCAGTGACAGTTGGAGGGAGCTAGAACTGACACTTTAAAACCCATCTGAGAAGGAGGTCCCCAAATGGCCAGCAGGTGGTGCTCTTGTCCTCATGCCCCCCATTTCTAGTGCTCTCTACCGGGGCTCCAAGTCAAACTCTCATCTACATTCTTAGGTCTCAGCCAGTTCTTAACATCTCGGTGCTTCATTTTCCTCATTTGTAAGATGCAGATTAAAAACAGCCCCACCTCACAGGGTGGCTCCAAAGACTAAATGAGTCAACACATGTAAAGTGCTTGGAAGTGTCTGGCACACAGTCAATGCTCAATATCAATGATCAGTTTTCTATGTAAAGAATCACTTGGGGCTCTTATTAAAAATACAAATTCCCAAGCTCTTCCTCTGGAGATTTTGATTTAGAAAGTCTTGGGAGAGATCTAGGGATCTGTATTTGTAATAATTACTCCAGGTCATCCTTATGATCAGATAAGTTTGAAAAATACTGGCTTACTCAACTACCACTCCTGGGAGGCCAGCTGAAATTCATACCCTCTGAAAAAGTCACTCCCCATTTCCTCACATGGAATGATCTTTCCCTCACTGGGCATCCATGGCCTTATGTCCACGGCCTTGTCTCTGCACTTTCCATGGCCTTATGTCCACGGCCTTGTCTCTGCACTTTCCATGGCCTTATGTCCATGGCTTCGTCTCTGCACTTTCTGTGTCAAGTTGGCTTTGCCTTGAAGTTCTGAACACATCACAGGTGGCGGGCTCATCTCTAGACCCTTATTTGCCTCCAACTATATTTGGTACAGACAAGGTGCTCCAAAATGTTTACGTTTAAATTTTAAATATTCTGAAAAAGCAAGCAACCATTGTTTTCAATGCCCTTGCGAACGTCTGAGGCAATGAGTGGTGGGAATCTGAGCCATGGAGATAATTCCTGATGCATTTCTGGAGGAAACCTATTCAATATAAATTCAAACAGGTTCAATCCTATTCAGACATAATATATTTTGAAAACTGTTCCTATGGTTCAACTTTCTAAGATGGAAGGGGCTAAACAGGCAGGATTAATGGTTCTGTGGGTTTCTTTTCAAATTACTCAACGCTATGGGTGGAAAATATTGGTTTGATAGACAGAAATTGCCACCCACAGAAATGGGATGCCAAGGGCCAAGATTAGGCTTAATAAATTAATGGTGAGTGAGCGAATGACTAAATAAATAAGTGATCCCTAACCTAAGGAATCAGATTCATCCCCCAAACCCTAGACCTTGGCTCATAGAAAGCAAGAAGGAATGGTGCTGTCAGGGGACTCGAGACCCTCTGCTCCTTGCCCCATGGCAGCCAGCTGCAATTCTTTGATAAATTTTGCTAATAGTAGCACAAACATGAGATGAGCCATGGATGACACAGCTTAAACTTCACATTGTCTTCAATGCTCAGGGTCCCACTACCACCTGGAATGTCCCAAGCACTTCCAAAAGGACAAGCCCAAGTAGGTCAGGGGTCTGAAAGAACCACTGTGTCAGACCAACTGCTATATGGTGGGGGCTCATCCAGTAATCAGAAGTCAGAAAGGCTGAAGACACATTCATTACCATTTCCCACTAGATCTGAGGCAACTTAACTTAAGGCTGGGACCCTGGAATACATTTCCATTTTTCTATCCCCAGGCATTATCCTTCTTTTAATCTCAGTTTCTCCATCCAACAAGGGTAGCACATTGCACTGGTGAAAATCATCCTTTCCCTTCTCAGTGGTCAAGTCTTAGAGTGTTTAAGTTGGAAGGGACGTATAGATGGAGTATGAACCTGTTTCCTTCTTCTTTGGTTGACTGAGTTCTTACCAAGTTCCTACTCTTGGCGACCTGGCCAAGGTCCCAAGTGCAGGCAAATCTTCTGGTGTCTGGGCATGGAAGACCTGCTCCTGTCCACGGGGGAGGCATGGGGTAGAGGGATGAAAGCCAGACCAGCTGAAGTTTTCTTACATTTTCTCTTTGCTTTTTCCATCCAGCTTGCCAACTTCCAATTCCAAGCTAAGTATGGTATTCTGCCCACTGGTGCTGCTGCCCAGCCTTCCCCAGGCCCTGTGACTCCTGCACCCTCTCAAGAACCTGCTCAAGGTTTAACTTCTAAAGATAGGACATTTCTCCACACGTCCTCACATGCCCACACTGCCTAGACTAAGCAACCTGTTCTAGAATAAATGTGAAAAGATGCAGCCCACGGGGCTATTGTGAGGGTATAAAGAATGAGGCCACAGACATGGGCTATGTATTTCCTGAAAATGGGCAGGAACGTTTGAATTTGGGGCTGCATGTAGATTTTAAGATATGAATGGAAATTCTTCACCACATCTTTTATGGTTCCACGAAATAGTAGAATTTTATAACCAAAAGGGGTGTCTTGAGATTGACTGTTCCAATCCAAGTACTTCTTTGTGCTGGTAGGATTTGACAATTGTAAAATCATGACTCAACAGTAGCAGAAACTGAGGCCAGGCTTCCTGAATACTAGGGAGGATTTGTTCCACAACACCTTGTTGGAAGTTAAATGCTCAAAAAGTACTTTTAAATGGAAAAAAACCAGGATACAAGAAAAGTCAATGTATCATACTACTAACAATAACTCCCCATTATAGAGTACTGTGCCCTATATGCATTATTGCATTGAATCCCACAGCGTTCATGAAGGCGGGCATCATATCTACATTTATGGATAATAAAACTAGGGATTCGTACAATAGAATAACTTACTCAAGGTCAAATAACAAGTTAGAAGTAGAGCAGGGATTTGAAGTAAGGTTCATCTGACTCAAGCCTACACTCGTAACTACTATTGCCTTTCCTAAGGAACACATACCGAAAGGAAATACTTGTGTGCCAGAATGTTAATGGCATGAGGGGAGAGAAAAGACTAATACTCCACTCATATCTATAGCTTGGGGATGTCTTACTGGCTTCAACTTTCCTGGGAAAGAATTCCAAGATGCTGATAGAGCCTCCACCAAAGGACAGAGACCCCCAAAGTTGAGGACGAGCATTTCAAGGATGTGGAAAGCAATTTCACAATATCTCTAGAGATTTCAAATGTGCACACCCTTTAATCCAGCCCTCCCTCGCTTCTGGGAGTTTATCCTACAGATATTCACAGGCATGAATGAAAAGATGTGGGTACAAGGTTACAAACGATGCTTGTTTGTAAAAGCAAAAGGCTGGAAATCGCCCAATCCCAATCTCTTATCAAAAGAAGGCTGCTTAAATAAATTGTGATTTTCTACACAACGAAACCCCACAGAGCTGTGAGAATGAGGAAGCTCACTTGGTGGTGAGATGGGACTAACTCCCATACCAATTCGCTGAAAAACCAAAGTAGGCTGGGTGTGGTGGCTTACGCCTGTAATCCCAGCACTTTGGGAGGCTGAGGCAGATGGATCGCTTGAGCCCAGGAGTTCAAGACCAGCCTGGGCAACATAGTGAAACCCCATCTGTACAAAAATACAAAAATTAGTCGGGCAAGGTGGTGTGAGCCTGTGGTGAGGTGGGAGGATCGCTTGAACCTGGGAGGTGGAGGCTGTAATAAGCCGAGATGGCACCACTGCACTCCAGCCTCGGCGACAGAGTGAGACTCTGTCTCAAACAACAACAACAACAACAAACAAACCAAACCACACTAAAAAAGCAAGGTATATGATAGTGAGTATAAGAAGTTACTTTTTGTGTTAAAAGGCAAGAAAATAAGAATATATGTGTGTGTGTGTTTATACACTTATGTTTTCATAAAGAAACTTTGGAAGGATACAGATAAAAGCCAATAAAACTGTCCGTTCGTGTTGGTGATGGTGGTGGTGTTTAGGAAAGGGTAAACAGGAATAATGGTGGAAATTAGACTTTTCACTGTGTATTTCCTACTATTTTTTGAGGTGATTGTAGCATATATTCTAAAAATTCAGATAAAAAAGGAAACTGTTAAGAATGCAGATGCTGTGGGGGATGCCTGGCTTGCTGACGCCAGTGTGCATGATTGTATGTGTGTGTGTGCGTGCGTGCGTGTGTGTGTACACATGCACCAGCAGCTCAGAGGTGAGGGAGGTGGAGGATTCAGGTGCAGAAGAAACAATGGATTCTGGGAAAGCCTTGGCTGGAGGTCATTTGATCCATCTCCCTGCCTTTGTACAACCCCACAGGGAAAGCACCACTCTTTAATGAGTGAGAAGTCAAAACAGTACCAACAAGAGTAGACCGGGGACATGCGGAGACACAGGAGGGGACTGAGGACCACAGCAAGGCTTCCCTCCTGGATTTTGAGCCCCGAGCCGGGGTGCCGCTTATCTTTCATGGGGAAGTCAGGAAGCCGCCCTGTCCCTCCCCTTTGATTCTAAACCAACTTCAGGTGAGAATGACCCTGAATGAAACCAAGAAGCCTAGGGGTAGCTTTGCCCCTTTCATGGGGAGATGAGGGCGAGAAAGGTGCCAGGGTCCTCAAAGATCTGCTGGTTTGTTTTGGAAATAAGCACAGGGCTGCAGCTGGGCTGGTGCTCAGAGGCTCAGGGCCAGCACTGTGCACAGACCTTCAGTTCTGTTTGGTCAGTCCTGGCTGTATGGCTGGTGAGCAGCTTACATATCACACTCCTGTCTGCAGTGCTTTCCATCTCAGGGCAGAGGTAGCTGGGGTAGGGCAGTAGGGGAGACACATTTGGGGGTTCCCTGCAGTGCCCAGGCTGCTGGCAGTGAGCCACTCACATCTCCAGGACCATGACGATGTTGGCCTTTTCTTCGAAGGCATCCACACACTGGACGAGCTTGGGGTGGTGGAGGCAGTTCATGATGCTGATCTCCTGCCGGATATTCTCTTTCTCTTTTGCTGAATATGCCTTGAAGAATTTCCCTGCCCAGATTTTTCGAGTTTTCTTTTCTACAAGTCGAAAGACCTGTCCAAATTTCCCACTGCAAATGAAAGGAGGAAGACAGAAAAGCCACATTTAGCCCAGCTTTCCACTCACTTGGGGTTGGCAAATTATGGCCCATGGGACAGATGTGGCCCATCTCCTTTTATAAGTAAGGTGTTATTGGAGCACAGCCCTGCCTGGCTGTTTGCATGTTGTCTATGGCAGCTTTTGAGCTACAGTGGCAGAGCTAAGTAGTTGTGACAAAGACATATCTCCCATAAAATCGAAGACATAGGCCTTTATGAAAGGCCCAGACTCCTGCTCTAGAGCAATGAGGCACATCTGTTTTTTCTTATCTTTAAACATTTTTTTTGTAGAAATGGGGTCTCACTATGTTGCCCAGGCTGGTCTTAAACTCCTGGCCTCAAGCAATCCTCCCACCTCAGCCTCCCAAAGTGCTGAGATTACAAGCGTGAGCCACCACACCTAGCCTTTGAAGCACACTTCTAATGTTGACAAACCCACTGTCAACCTTGGCTGACGGCGTCTCTTCTCCTCCCTGTGGTGGAACCCATGAAGATGGGTGGAGACAGCCCTTCCCAAATGCAGAGAATTGCTGAGCAGTTGCCTTCTTTCCTTCCACTCCCTACCACTGATCCCCTGGTGATGGCCCAGGCAGGGTCCTGCTTCCCACTGCTGAGAGAGGGGAGAGTGGGGCTCCTCTGTGATGGCACTGACTCCTTTCTGATACTGTTACCCGGTTTGCATCACTCCTTCATTTCCCAGAAACCGCTGGAAATACAAATGGAGTCCCACTCCTTTCTCTCCCACCTCTTCTATTCCTCCAGGGACAGGGCTAGGGGCAGATGAACAGCTTGGCTCAGGATTGGGGTCTGAGTGCACTCTATCCTCCACGCCCCAGGGAGAAGCCAGAGTAAGCAGCGCGACCAACTTCATGAGGGAGCTAGATGACTGCTGCGCATTTAATGGAGCACTAACGCAGGCATTGCTTTACAGTGAGCACTGATCAGCCTCCACTGACTTCTGTGGATCAAATGGAAGGGATACCAAAGATAACTGATCCAGTCTTCTCATTTTATTTTATTTTAAAAATTATTTTATTATTATTTTTAAGTTCTGGGGTACATGTGTAGGATGTGTATGTTTGTTACATAGGTAAACGTGTGCCATGGTGGTTTGCTGCACCTAACACCCCACCACCTAGGTATTAGGCTAAGCGCGCATTAGCTCTTCTCCCTAATGTTCTGCTCCCCGCACCCCCCGCCCTCCCCTGACAGGCCCCAGTGAGTGTTGTTCCCCTCCCTGTGTCTCACTTTAGTCCTGGGCTCTGAACAGAGGCATGGAAAAGGAAGGACTTGCCCACAGCCTTTGCAGAGCTGGGACAGTGCAGGACCGCATGGACAACTCTGCAGAGAGTCCTGGGTGAGTGATGCTTTCATGGGTCCTGCAGGACTCTCAGTCTGGGGAGGAGGCAGGGCTCAGGGAGCAACAGGAAGCTGAGGCACTGAATCTAACTGTGAGACCCACACCACCCCTCACCCTGGGAGCCCAGAGGCAACTTCCCATTCCACTTACGATCCTAATCTCTCTTCGATGTCGTAGACGTCAGATACTTTTTGTTCAGTATTGATTGTCACCGTCCGATAATCAACCTCAGACTCCTTCTCATCTGTGGGGCACGGGTCAGGGTTGGTGTGAGCCTCAGATGCCCCCACTCAGCTCCCTCCACCCCAAGAGGCTGACCTAAGGACAGGGGCTGCACTCACCATCGTCTGAAACCTCCACTTCATCCTTTGGCTCTGGGAGGGCACAAGGAAGGACGGAGAAGACACAGGTGATTAGTACTGAAGGCTCACTGAGAGTAAGATGTGCTGGGGGCCTTGCCAGGCCTCAGCATCCCTAGGCAGAAGAGTACCAGGCCCAGAGCTCTGGGCATCCCCTGGGGCTGGTCAGTCCACACAGCAAATAGGGCCTGATGCAGAATGGCAGGTGCCAGCCTCTTCCCTCCACTCAGCTCCACTTCTCCACCAGGTCTCCCCTCCGTCCCATCCTCTCTAGCCTCATGGTCCCCAGATATAGCCTTCTCCACATTTCATCCAACCCTTCCTGACTTTCAGAACCTATACACAACTGTGACAGTCTCTTTCTCCCCTGGCTCAGAAGTCAGCAACTGCTAATTGCTTCTAGTGTCAAATCCATGTAGCCATTTGTTGAACATTGTTGATGGCATCCCGGCACTGGACCAAGCATCTTGAATATCAGTTATTGTGGGCATTCAAAACATATTACACAGAAGGTATGGTATCTCCTTTCTTATAGCTTATAATTTAGTTCAAGAGGCAAAAACATATATACTTGAAGTAACAATTTACAAAGTATATCATAATCACGCATATATCACCATGGTTCAAAGTGAATACACAACAGAGGAGGGTGACACAAAATGGGGCAATTGTAAGTGACAGCAATTATTCTTGGAAGAAATGCCTTTGAGTTGTGTCTTAGAGGAAATTATGGAATACAACAAGGGGGTGAGTAACGTCACACAAATGAAACCAACAGGTATTTGTGAGGCAGGCGGGGAGGGACACAGTCACACCAGCTGCTCCCATGGCTGTGTCAGGAGGGAAGAGGGGTCTGGGGAACAGGAGGGGGTCCCCAGAACAGGGGGGCGTCCAGCAGAGCACACCCACTTCAGAGCTCCAGGCCTTCCTTTGCCTTGATACAGGTTTGTTTGTTGACAATCGAGCCACCTGACCTTGGCTGACTGCCTTTCCCTTCCTGGGCCTTGGTTTCCCCAAGGGTTGCACCTGATGTCTCTGGCCCTCGCTAGCTCTGGATGCCATGCTTCGTCTTGTGCTGTGTGCTCCTCAGCCATCGTCTGGGCTGTGTCCCGGCTGACAGCTGGACAACGAATGGGAGGTTTCCCAAGGAAGCAAAACAAAGACAGGAGAGAAAGCATAGAGGGAGGAAAAGGATTTTTAAAGTGTGAGTGTGTGTGTGTGAGAGAGATAGTGTGTAAGGGTGGGCATATGAGTGTGAGTGTGGGTGTGCCTGTGTGAGTGTGTGAGTGTGAATGGGAGTGTGTGTTTAGAGTTCTTAAGATGCCGCTGACAAAGCTCAGTTTTTTTTAAAAACTGAAACTAAACATGAATGGGGTTGGGAAGTATGTTATAATCACAGAAAGGAAATTGCCATGGAAAAATAAAAAAGGATGAGATAGACATGGATACGCAGATAGAGTCTAGCTGAAGGATCAGAGGTGGGTTTCACAGTTACTGTCAGGATGTGGGTGTGGGCCTAACTGATCAACATTCCTAAATCTGCATGCTGGAGAGTGAAGAGTGGCATTGTCCGATTCACAGGTGGAAAGGATGACCTGAGAGCAATGCAACTAGAAGCCAGGAACGGAGTTAGTATTCAGGAGAATCTGATCATTCTACCTTCTAGGGTGGTGAGCCCTAAAGTACATAGTTAAAACCCAAGACAGAAAGAGCAGCTCCTCAATCTACTGCTCGGGCTGTCAGATGCTGTCACAGGGCAAAGCGTGCATGGGCCCCAAACAGAGGTTAGTACTGGCTAGCTGTTGAGAGCGCCCTGGGTGCTTGCCCCGGAGCTCTGGCTGCTGGCAGTCAGAAAGCCACGGTGGAGCTGGAGGTGGCACGCAAGGCCACTGAAGGGAAGGGCTACGTCTTAAGACAATCAGAAAAGTGAGGCCTCTGAGGTTGGGAAAGAAGTCTACAGTGGACACAGCTTTAAAGAGAATCACACAATTGCCAAGGGTGAGATGAGGGTTTCGGACTTTTCATCAACTCATGACAACTGCACTTTGGGAGAACCATTTAGTGTTCTACCTCGCCTAGGAGGAAGGCTGGAGGGATGTGGAACTCACACATGAGAGATACCGCTAGAATAATAAGTATGTTCAATAGACATTTAGGTTAGTTTGGTGATGGTATTACAAACAGGGTTTTAACAGAAGCACAAATATTGGAGTCAATGAGTGAGGGGACACCAGGTAGACCAGTCACTGGACTAGGTCTTCGACACGGAATCATCCTATTTACTGTCAGGGAGGCCCCTGTCTTGACCTGTGGTGCTGCTGCCTGATATAGTGGTTCACCCGTCGAGGCATCCTTTATTTCTTATTCCTGTGCCCCATTTTCCCGGCGTGGCATGGAGACCAGTGTATTCCGAGCAGCAGAGTGAGAGGGAAAGGAGAGGGCAGCTTTCCTGGCCCGGTGTCAGGAGGAGCAGTCTTGCCAATGGCCCAGCAGGAGGGGCCTTTCCCTGCGTGCCTTGAAGGGATTATCCAGTCCTAGAGCTGGCCCCTGCCTGTCACTGTGAGTCCAGGTAGACAGTCACAGTGCTAGCCTCTGGCCTCACTCATGAGCCCACATCCACGCCTCACCTTCGCCTCTCACCCCAGAGGTCTGTGGCAGGTCTGATTCTCCTGCTAATGCTCTGGGGGAAGGACCTAGATCATTCTCAAGGAATTCCAGCCCCTCTTTCTAGTGCACTGTGTTCCTTTATGCTGCAGGAAACTCGGATCAAGACTCCGGACTAAGCCAGGAGCAATGGCAAGTGCCTGTAGTCCCAGCTATTCGGGAGGCTGACGCGGGAGGAATGCTTGAGCCTAGGAGTTCAAGTCCAGCCTGTGCAATAGTGTGAGACCTGATCTCTTAAAAAAAGATAAAGATTCCAGGCTGCTACGTCCCCTTCTGCTTTTCACTTCTTGTCCTGTCTCTCTTCTATTTGAGGGGCAAAATGACCACAAGGGGAGGATGAGAGAGAGGTAGAGGAAAGATCACAGTTCAACTAGTGGAGCTCTTGGTGCATAAAGCGTTGTTGAGAAAGGTGAACTCGTTTCCGTCTTTCCACGAGGGAAGGGGCTAAAATTGTAGCAGAAGGGTCTTCCACTGAACTTAAAAAAGAACAAAATCTGTTCAGAATGAGCTATGAGATCCATGAGCTAAGTGGAAGGCTATTTAGAGGATAGTTCTGAGATATTTCTGCAAACAGATGAGAGTCTCGTTACCCTGGAGTGTTTGGGAGAGGGTCAGCTGAGTGCTCAGGACCCTCACACCGCACAAGTCCAGTCAGTCCCCTGGACAGAGAATTGTCCCTTCCCGCAGCCAAGGACTGTTGCACACCCAGAGAACACTAGAGGGCACCCAAGCCCCGGAGACGGCCTCTGAGGCCAGGGTGTAGCTGCAGCTTGGGATAGGAGCAGTACAGACTTTATATATTGAACTGCCCTGGGGGTTGCAAGGAGGCCCCAGTTCTGCAAGAAGCATCAGTCACAGTAGTTGTTTTGCTAACAGTTATACAGACTAGAACAAATTGGGGTTAGGAGCAGGGATGGAGTGGATTTGAGTGACAGCAGGATTAGAGGGGGAGTACAGTTGAAGACCTGGCTGGGCTGGGAGGGGGCGGGGCCATGGTAAGGTGCTGGCTCTGTGCACTTGGGTTTGGGAGTGCAGTGTCAATTCAGGGACCCTAGTCTTAGGAGTGGCTCCAGCACAGAGAAGCCACTGGAGCTCCATGGGGAACCCACGCTTTGTCCCCCACTGTATCCCCAGTGCCTATGGCAGTGCCTAGAACACAGGAGGGGCACAGAACACATGGTGAATGAATGTGAGGTGAGGGCTAGGGTACAAACAGGGATGCAAATGAGGCAAGAGGACGAAGTAGAAGAGTGAGAGGCAGGAGTGGCGGTGGCTGTGGTGGTAGTGGTGAAGGTCAGAGCCAACATTAGCTGGGCTTCGTGGAGTGTGGGTTAATCAGCACTGCCTTTTCAATATGATTACAGGTGTGAGCCACCACGCCCGGCCTCTTATCCTAAATTTACAATGTCCTTTTCCTGTTCTTCACACAAAACTTCTTGAAATAATATTCCATGCTTCTGGCCTCTCTTTCTTCCATTTATTCCTTAACCAGGGCAACCGTCTTTTCACTCAGTGGAAACTCTACAGACTGATCACATATATCACTATCAACCAAAGGACTAGATCCGAAGACCCTCTGAGTCCTCATCTCCTTCATCTTTATTGAGCATTGGATGCAGTTTATGAAGCCCTCTTTGCAACTTCTCCCTCTCCTGTTTCTTTGAGACTCCAGCCTCCTCTTGGTTCTCTCCCCTCTCAGTCCTTTCTCCTGGTACTGCAAGCTCCTTCCTCATGGTATTGGTATTGACTTTCTCTACCACACTCTCTGTAACCTTATCAATGCCCATGGTTTCAATTATTAATTAAATAGTAAAGACTTCCAAGCCTGCAGCACTAGCTTAAACCTTTCTCCTGGGCTCTAGACCCAACAGTCTGAGGATACCTTCCCTTGGCTATCCCTCAGATGCCTCAACTCAGCAGGGCTGAAACCACAGCTCCCCTCTCCTCGCAGACTCCCTGTTATGTAACCTCCAAGTCACTCAAGTCAGGAACCTGGAACGCAGCCTGACCTCTTCCGTCAGTCTAACCAAAGGAACACAAGCTTCAGGACAGACAGCTCTGAGTTCAAGCATCAGCTCGCCAATGACAAGCTCTGTGACTTTGGGCAAGTAGCTTCTCCCCTCTAAATCTCATTTCCCCTATCTGTAAAATGAGGGTAATAACAGTATCTGCTGCATTGGGCTATTGAGATTGGATGAAACGATGCATATAAAGTGATTAACACATTGTAAGCTTAGAGTAAGTGCTCAATACATGTTAGCCATGGTGAATTATAACAATAAACCTCTAGCTGGCTCTTGAATTTGTGTTCAGTTACCCCAGCCAGGAACTGTAAGTCATCTTAGAATCTTCCAGTTCTCTTCCTCAACTCTCTATGCAAAAAGTCCTCAAGTATGGTCAATTCTACCTCCCGAGGCTTGAAGTTCATGCCCTTTTCATCCCTCTCCTGGACTATCATCCCAGAGGCCCATCTGGTATGGCTGACTGCAGTCTCATCTCCTCTGACCCACCCGCCACTCCAGTGCTTCTCAAACGTTCGTGTGCCTCTGAATCCCCTAAGGAGTGAATCATTTTCAGTCAAGGCCCAGAAGGGCCTGGGGGATCTGCTTGCTAAGAAGCTTCCAGGATGCCAAGACTGCTGGTCCACAACTGCACTGTGAACAGCAAAGCCCTGCTCTTTCCCTAGTTCTCCAAAAACCAGATCTAATCTTCCTGATCCCCTGCCTGAGAATTTTTGATGAACTTCACAACTTCACCTAAAATGCCCTTTTAGCCTTACTTCCTCCTGTTCTATCTCACACAACGTATGCCTTGGCCACGCACGAGCATCTGAAAATGCCACACACTGCCATTGCTTTGTAACCTTTGCTCATGCTGTTTCCTCTTGTAGAGTGCCTTTCCTTATATTTCGTGCCTTTTAGAATCCTATCCCACTTTCCAAGACTTAGATTAAGTGTTACCTTCTCCAGAAAGCCTTCCTTGGTCTCCAGGGAAAAATGCTCCATGCATTCTGCTATGTTCCCTTGGCTCTTTGTTTACCCAGCTATAATACCATGCATCCCTTCTCATTATAGCTAGCCATACACACCTCTGTTCCCCTAGATCTTAAGCTCCATGTCTTATCTTTGTGTCCTAAGAATCCAACACCAAGTAAACACTCAACTATGGATACAAGAGGAGGAGAGAAGGGGTGGAAGGTGGAAGAGGAACGTGAGGCCTACTTGAACTCCTGGTGTGCCGCTGAGTTACACACCATCGCCCGCTGGTGGCAGCATGCCACAACTGCTGGTTCAATGTTTTTTGAAATGTCCTAAGTATTAATACTTTTGAAGAATGGCTCCACATCACTGTCTTGGAAACCAAGACCCCAAAAGACCCTGCCAGTCATCATTAATGTTTCCTCAGTTCCTCTTCACCCCTTTCAGTACAGTCTTTACATACACAAGGTCAGTCATACATATTTATTTCAAGCCACTGATGAAGTGAAGGCAGCCTACCTTCAGGTTTCTCTCCTACCGTTGTGAGTTCAGACTCCTGGCTTGGCTCACTGGTTCCATACACGTTGATTGCACGTACACGGAACTTATACTCATGGTCAGGCAGCAGGTCCTGAACGTTGAAAGAGGTGCTGCGGCATGTGGCTAGTTCCTTCCAAGTCTTGTTGGCTGAGTCCCAGATCTCGATGCTGTAGGACTGTACGGCACTGCCCCCATCGTACGAGGAGCCGTACCAGGACAGGGTCAGTGAGGAGCTCCGAATGTCAGAGGCACAAGGTGTGCCAGCTGGGGGGTCTGGCTTATCTGGAGATAGAGAAGCACAACATCACCCACACTTTCCAGAACTGCAGGCAAAGGAAGTTTTTGAATTACCTGTGTCATTGGGGAAAGGCAGCCTAGAGAACTCACTCTGAAGTCCCTGGTCCTGCGTCTCTTTCCCTCATCCGCATATCACAGTTAGAGCTATGTACAAATCCACCTGTACCGAAAGCCCCATGTATAACTATTTGCTCCAAAAAAGGTGCCCCTCCTTTTTATTGCTAGTTTTCCAGTCTACATGCAAGTCATGATTTCCTGTACTTTGCTCAAGTCATAAACATATTTGTCAGAGTAAACAGATCTAGGAAACTGCCAAGAAGGCGTGGACTATTTCCCATGGAAAACATGTTTTGAGAGAGAGACAGTTCAGCTTGAGTGTGTGTGTCTGTCCTTCAGGCCCTTGGCCAATGACCTGTGACATAACTAGGGGTCTGCCTCCACTTTCTCTGGGTCTTGAGAAATGCCTGCCCCAGCAAGGGGCGGTATAGCACAATGTTTCTCTTCTGAAGTCAGACAGATTCAGGTTTGAACACGGATCTGTCCCCACACAGTAGCTGTTAATTGCCCTGTGCCTCAGTTTCCCCATCTGTAAAATGTGAATAACAGCACTTGCATCACAGGTGGTTGTGAGAAATTCTTAGAAGAGTGGCTGGCTTGACTAGTCATTACTGCCAAGATTATTGTAGGAGTTTATTTCTAACTTTATATACTTAAAAATTACTCCTACCCTACCTCTTTTATTCTCAGAGGGCTGTTGAGATATAAATAATTTCAAAAGCAAACCACAATAGCAAATCACAGCCATCCCTGACTAATGGACAGAAAATGAGCTGAGGATACAAATAAGAAGTGGCCCTTTTGGCTGGCTGCCTTCTCATTCAGATGACCTGGCCTCAGAACTAGCAGTGCTGCCAACTTCAAGTCAAATCATGGTAGCCAATACTTTAATGAGGCTCTTGAGTTTTGCTGATTTTATTAGTTGCTTATCTGAGCAAAACTCTCCTATTTTTCAGATTTAGTTTTTGCAGATGATTGGTTAGCTACAGATATCTCTGTTCATTAACCCTTCATCTCCCCCAATGCTTTTTGAGTTCATGAAGCCTCACAAACTAGCAACTGAAACCATGCTTTTAAGCTATGTCAGTCCCAGCAAATTTGAAACTGGTTTGTTTGCCTGACTTCCTCATTCAGAGAATGGTGCCAATATGTTCCTACCTCTTAGGGTTTTTGCAAGCCTCAAGTCAGCAAACATAAAGTACTTGACCACTACTCTCCCACCCCCAGCAAGGCAGGAAGGCCAAAGGCAATTTCTGCAAATGACCCTGTGTATATGGAGAAGAAAAATCTGCATGTGTATACATGTATATACATATATACTCATACTCATATTCATTCTTGTCCCCTCTCCCAGCCCTGCTGATCCACATTCCAGCTCAGAATGTGCTGCCTAGAAACTGTCTATCCCCAGTAACCAAAGCCCTGGGAATGATTCTGGGATTGTGACAGAGCCACTTCCCAGTGCTGCCAGTCATGCCAGAGGCCTCCTGTGATGGAACCACTTTCGCTGGCTGTTTAATATGTTCTCTTAGAAAAACTGTTTGTTCTGAGAGATATATTGGCCTTTTTTGAAACATTTCTGGTTTTGGCTAAGATGTTTATTACTCTAAACTCTCTTAAAGACAAGTGGTTCAAGTCCTCTCAAGACCCAGCTAAGGAAGTAAAAAAGCCTAAAGAGGGATGGAAGACAGACCCACTACTCCTCCCAGAGAAGGCTGCTTGGAAACCATGTGATTGGCCACGGCTGGAGTCGTGTGGGTTTATAAATGAATGCACTCTGCCAACTGATCTTCCTTTTGCTTTGGTCAAGAAAAGAAAACTGAGAAATGGGTGTTGCAGAAGAGTACCCTACCCTGTTAACAGAGGTCTCTTGGCTGAAAATGAGAACCTATACATGACACATGTGATATATAAGACTTGTCACACAAGAGAAGATGCAAAATTCGGGTAGAGGGACTTTAATTCCAAGTGAAACTCCAACACTTTTAAGAAATTTGCTACCAAATTAAGGAGTTCAAAAAAGACCCAAGTCAGAAGTCCTACGAGATTGGAGGCCTCCCACCCCTCCACCTGCCTTTAGGGCTGTGGGCTGCACTTAATGCTTTCTGTTCTTTCTAAGCTATGAGCCCCATGCAGTGGCTGAACTAGTGAGGGATGAAAACCCTCAGAAAAGAACAGATGTCCTTAGAACAGGGTGCTCCTGTGAGCCTGTCCTCCACAGCGACACACTCAGACTGGGAGGGAGACCCTGGGCATCTCTGGGCGAGGGAGACTCCACATTTCCTCTGAATTCTCCCAGGGCTCCCTGGAGGCTTGATTAACAGACTAGGAAACTCAGCTGAGTCTAAGACAAGAGTCTCCAATGGCACCAGCTCCAGGATTTTCTCCTCAGTAAATGTTCTAATTCCCAGGAAAACGGAGGATCCCCTCCTACAGCTTCCCACTAGAGTAACTGCCCTCGAGGTCTCTTGGTACTCGCTTATTTGAAGATGACCAGTGGCTGTGCCTAGCCCCACCTGGATGTCCCTTCCCTGGGACTTCAGCAGCTGCTGGAAGGACCCCCAAGGTTCATCTACCTGGATAATCCCAGCCCTTGAGAAATGGGTCCTCAGCAGCTAAGGCATTTTTCTTACCAAGAAAACCCAGTAGTCAGTGGCAGAGCCAAAAGGAGATTCCAAAAAGCCTCCGGACCCTCACTCCAGGGCTCAGGACCTTCCAGGCTATCAGGCAGAATGAGCTCAAGAAGGCATCTCGCTTAAGCCTGAGCTGAGCATTAAGATGGGAAATCATGCAAGCTCCAAACTCAGCATTTGGGGATTATTGGGTATTTGGGGTTCTCTCTACTTTGTTTTTCTCCTTTAAAGATGTGAAAAGAGACCTGCTTTTCTCACGCTGGGTGAGTGACCTTAAGGAATCCATCTGGGTGTGCTGCTCACTGCCCCCTCCCTCACTCCCTGCAGGCCAAGACCAGGGGCGCATGCACAGGAAGAGGCTCTGAGCATCGCAAATTCCTGGGCTGCCTTTTAAAATATAACAATAATAAGTCTCCGAAATAGCTAAACATCACTCATTTAAGCTAACAGAGGGAAAGGCTAGTTTTTTTATCGTTTGAAAAATGGGAGTCAGAGATGATCTGAAAAGAAAGTGTTCCTTTAAAGAATATACAATAAGAGAAGTTTGCTGCTAACAAGGAGGAGTTGTATTAAACTGGCCTTATTTAGCTGGTCTGTAAATGCATGAAGACTGTCTGGAGCAGGCCAAGTGATTCCTGTTTTACCTCATGTACGTTTTACATCTGCTTAATAAACCCTGATCAGAGAATACAGAGATGCCCCTGGAGATGCACAGGTAAATCTGAGCTTCATCTAGGTTTACTTTGAACTAATTCTAAGTGCATGGGCTCTGAATGAATGTGGCTTTGCTGTGTCCATCAATGTGAGTCCTATTTTATTGAGCAATTCTATTCTTAGCTCTTTGAGGGGGAGGCAGACAGAAAGCCTTGGTTCTCCTCCATTCCATTCCCCTCCCAGGACGGCACTTAACATGCTGCTCCTGCCAGCTGGCGGACAGCCACGCCAATGGCCCTGTCAGCACTGGCCGCAGAGAATAAGAAACTAAACCATAAAAGGCCAGAACTGCAGCCTGCGCAGTGGTGATCGGAGGAGGGGAGTGCGTGGCACCGCGCAGGAGCTGGGCATCGTGGGGGCTGGGGGAGGGACGGCTGAGTACAGAAAAGCAGTTCAAAGAAGTTGACCCCAAAGTTGCTTAAGGAGGAGCAGATGAGAGAGAACATCAAAGAAAAGTCTGAACTGATGCTTGCTGATAGGACAGGAGTATAGGGCCAAATCAGTGCTTCAGAACAGATCTAAATGTACCAGCAAACTGGATCACTAGCACCAAGCCTCCACACGTTCCTGACTGCTTGGGAGGAAATTATTCAAATAAGCACCTGGAGTCACCAAAAAGAGACAGAGTGAGAAAAGGGTTATTCTCCTTTAGAGATGAAAAACCCATGCCCTGACCCCTTTGTACACCAGTCTTCTCCAATCTGAAACTTCTAACCGAAAGAAACAAAAGAACGGGGGTCAGAGGAAGGAAGACAAAGGGAAAAGAGGGGACATGGGACAGGAGGACAGACACTGAGAAATGGCTGAAACAGAACACAGGGTGAAGAAACAAGGCCAGGGAGAGAAACAGAGCAAGAGAGAAGGTAAAGAGGAATATGGACAACCCGGGGTGGGGAGTGGATGCTGGAGCTCAGTCCTCTGTGAATTCCCTCTCTCGGGTCCCCCGTGTCCAGGGACAATCTTCCAGGGGGCTTCACAGTACTTCCTGTCTGGGGAGTTGGGCCAGGGCGTGGAACCTGTGGTCTGTTCTGGTAGCTGGCATGGGCGCAGCTCACTGGCCACCTCATTTGTCTTCCCAGCTCTGTATTACTTTGACCTTTATCCTTATATCTTCCCTATTCACCTGGTTGGACAAGGACTTCTTCTTCCCCAACTTCTTAGGGGCTGGAGGGAAGTGCTGCAGGGCTTCCTAAGGCTCAGCATGAGAAAAACGGAGGTACAGACATCAGCAACTCCATGGCATGTGGACAGCTCCCCAAAAGGCTTGCATGTCCCTCTCAAGATGAATTTTATAGCCAGAGTGTTCCTTTACCTTTTGGGACATTCTGTACCTACTTCACACTCCCATGAGTGGCACTGGAGGACAAGTGTTTGAAAGTTTAGAGCTAGTTCCCACTTAACCCCTGACGCACTATGTTACTTTGTTCAGATTAGTCCTCAGTTTCTCCTGCGTAAGGCTGGGAAACATCAGCCCTGTCCATCCCAGTCCTAAGGTGAGGGTACGAGATGAAGATGGGGAGAAAAACTGCTTGAGAACTAAGTCAGGGAATCACAGAATATCAGAGAACAAAGCCAAGGAATCACAGGCCACCAGAGAACAGAGGTGAGGAACCACAGAATGTCAGAGAACAGAGTCGAGGAATCAGAATGTCAGAGAACAGAATTGGGAAATCATAGAATGTCAGAGCTACAAGAGACCTTAAGAGTCAATGTCTCCAACTTCTAACTTCATGTCTAGATACCTCCATAAGAGAGATTCCAGGGGAAGACTTCTAACCACCGTAGCCACACAAGCCCCGTTACCAACAGATCCTTTTGTTCTGTGTGCCCACGTGTGTGTGCACCAGGAACACACAGGAAAGGCTAGTTTGCAGGAAGTTAAGGTTGGGTTCAGCACACACAGCTGAGAGTTTTGCACACTGCATAAAAGGGACCTAGTGGGGGCATCTGGGCCAACCTGTCCTCCCCAAGGCCAGGTCATGAGCTCTGGGGTGAGGCTCAGAGCTGGGGTTGTACCCTTTTCACTCTGCCCAGCAAGATCCCTTTTTCTAATTTTCACAAATATACCCTGTAAGGTTGAAAGCCAAGGACAAATGGAAAACCCGCTCGGGTCTCGTGCACATATCAATAAATACCAGGTCAAAGGCTTTCACACGCACAACATATGAAGGCCCACAATGCATGAGGCATAAAGTCTACTCTCTATCTGTCTGCTCCTCTGCCTGCTCATTATTCCGCCGTCCCAAGCACCTGCCACACGGGGAACAACTGTAGCAGAACATGACAACTGTGGGAGACTGGGTAGAAAACTCTCTTGATGCTCCAGGACAGAGCTGACCAGGGTACGAAGACAGTGGTAAGGAAGGAGAGGAAAAGTGAACTTGAGAATCAGTCTGGAGATAGACCCCACTCAATTGTGGGATGAAGGAGGTGATAAGGAAAAGCGAGTGGAGTCAGGGTTGGGGGGTCATGGTGACCTCAGAACAGTCCCTGCAGACTAATGGGGTGTGGGAGTGAGACCACAGGAAGCTGGAGGGTGCTGGGAGGTGAAGAAGCAGAAATGCAGTAGAGACTCACCCTTGTCAGAGAGAGAACGTAGGGTGGCAAGAGTGAGAGAGAACATTACAGGAGATATTCATGCCTGTGCATCTGGCTAAGATGGCGACACTTATGGGCTGCTGGGAGGAGCCAGGAAAGAGGAAGAGGTTGAAGAGAGAAGTAGGGATGGTGGAGTCCCCAAGGGCCTGGGGTCCAGAGCACAGGAGAAGGGAGCAGCCTTCGGTGGGCCCAAGGTGGGCCATCCCCAGAGCCTAGAGGGTGGAGTCAGGATGGGGACAGATAGAGACACCTGTGGTGTGGGGGCCAAGAAGGTGATCAAGTTTATGCCTCATGTCTCGCATTTCTCAAAGAAGCTAGATGTCAAGGTCTGAGGGCGGGGAACTCCAGGAACAGCTATCACAGAGAGGTGTTAATAGAGACAGGGAAAAGGATTTCTGCCTAGCCTTGGCCTCTCTGCTGAGCCTGGAGGTCAGCAGGCTCTAGCAGGGAGTCTGTAGGTTGCCATGATCTTCTTTCTGTGGTGCCTTATAGATCAGGCACAGGAGTGGTGAGAGAGAATGGGTGACGAAGTCCTGAGGCCCACATATCTTGCCTGGGGGCTCCCTGCCTTCCCCTTGCCCCAAGCTCCATGCCACCCAGCCACCAGACTCACCCACGACAGTGAGGTTGACCTGGGCCTGCCTGCTGCCCAGCTTGTTCTCCACCAGCAGTGTGTAGCAGCCGCAGTGCTCCTGGCGCGCGGCCAGGATGGTCAGCTTGCTGCCATTCTCGCTGTTCTCCACCTTCATGTGCTCGCTCTCCTGGATCTAAGGGTGGAGGATGGAGCAGGTGCTCGAGCCTTGGGCCCTTGGGCTAGGAAAGGAAGGGGGCTCCTCCCCATTCCCTACTTCCTGAAGGATGCAGTTGGACAAGCTGTGGGGGCTCGGTCTAGTCTGGACTCTGCGCTTCCCCCTGAGGCCCCTTCTCTCCTGCATCCAGAGCCCAGCTTCCCTGAGGGTGCCAGGTCTGTGGTGGGCAAAGAGGGTGCGGAGCAGGGGCAGGATGGATGAACGAGCTGAGCACTCACTGCTCCCAGAAGTATCCTGGTCTCCCTCTACCTCTCTGGAATGGGATGATAGGAGAACTCATCTCAGCAGTCATTCACAAGGTCCACTCCAGCGGGTTCTAACCTCTTCTGTGCTGTCCAATGCTGTAGCCACTAGTCACATGTGGCTATTTAAATTTTAACTAGTTAAGTGGAAACAACCCAGATGTCCATCAACTAATGAACAAATAAAATATGGTCTGTCCTGACAATGGAATATTTATTATTAATTCATTGAAAGGAATGAAGTACTGATTCATGCTAAAACATGAATGAGCCCTGAAAAGAGTATGTTAAGTAAAAAAAAAAAAAAAAGAGAAAGCTACATGAGAGGATGACATACGGTATGATTCCATTGATATGAAACGTCCAGAGTATGCAAATTCATAAATACTGAGAGTAGATTAGTGGCTGTCAGGGCCTGGGGAAAGGGGAGGAATGTCTGCTAATGGGTCTAGGGTTTCTTACTGGGATGATGAAAGTATTCTAGAATTAGATAATGGTGATGCTTGCACGACCTTGTGAATCTACTGAAAACCACTGAATTGTACACTTTAAAAGGGTGAATTTTATGGTATATGAATTATATCTTAACAAAGCTGCTATAACAATTGTTAACTAATTAAAATTAAATATTCAGTTCCTCAGTTGCCCTGGCCACATTTCAAGTGCTCAAGAGCCACATATATATGGCTGGTGGCTGCCATATTGGATAGCACAGAGATAATACTTTCTTCATGGCAGAAAGTTCTGAGGGACAGAGCTGGGACTTGGCTAACCGTCCCTGAAAAGTGATGAGATTCCATCTTATTTCAGACAACAGTAGTCCAGATGTCGCTCAGGGCAAACATACTCTGGGATTCATGCTCTGCAAAGGCGAGCTTCTTATTTCCGTCTTTTGAGACCAGCCTTACTTTCCTCCCTGTTAGTACTAAGTGTTCATCTCTGGGCCTAGGAGAATTTGAGTGGTTTTAAAACAGAGCAACAGAGGGCTCAGAATAAGTCTTCACAACTTCCCGCTCCTGTGCCAACCCACCATTCCAGGGTCCCTGCTGATCATGCGTACAGACACGCACTACCACCGTAGGATTGGTGGAGCTGCTGGGCTCCCCAAGTCCTTTCAAAGCTGGTTGTCTGGAAATTCAAACGTTTTTCCATAGGAACCATTATGATAAATTGTAGCTAGATTTCCGGGTCAGTCAGACATGATTCCATTTATCATACAATTCTTCTATCCAAATACTCACATTTGCTTTTATCCCTTCAGCATGTGGCAAGTTTAAGCAGTTATGACAGACAGGAATCAGCGGGCTGACACAGAATCACAACAAGCTCATGGAGTCTAAGGGTCATCTTGGGTCACTGGCTCGACTTTCCTGACTCTGAATAGGATTCTAGACTGCGCTATCAAATCAGATGAGGGCCATGGATGGTTTCTACTTTTCCCCTCACACTTTTCTCTATTACACAAATTGCCTACAAAGGCAGGAATCATTGGTAGATTCAGAAGCAAAGGTTAGCAAGAACTCAGGTTTGGCAGGTGAGCGATGGTAGGGGAGCGGCCTCTCCTATTTCTAAAGCTATGAAGAGTAAGGCCATTTCCAGCATGGCATTTCTCATCCCTTTCGGTCCAAAGGCTGTGCGGGTTGTTCCCAGCACCCCCAATGTCCACCCCATCCCGTCACTGACCTGCTTTCGGAACTTCATCCAGGTACAGGTGATGGGCTGGGTGCCTGTCACTTTACCAAACAGCTCCACTGACTCTCCGGCGCGTACCTTCTGGTCCTCAGGGAACTGGATGATCTGAGGGGGCATTGCTGAGGGAGGACAGGGAGAAAGTAAGTGAGGCAGAAGGGTCTCAGGCATTCTGATCACATTTGATGCCATTGTCCACAGTGGTCTGTTGGCTTCTCTCTTGGCTTCCAGAACCTTCAGGGTAAGACTGAGGGGCAGTGATCCTGCTGCAGGACATCCAAGTTCATGGACCTGCTAGGTTTGCTCCCCTCTTCATTCTGATTCCCTCAGAAGTGACCCACACGACTTACATGGTATGATTCTCCATTTATGGGTTGTACTGGAATTTGTGTCTTACCCTAATTTTTTGAATTGAGGTCCTAACTCACCTATGAATTAAGCAGCACCTTGCCTTCTAACCTCCAGGTCACCCTGGCTGGCAGGCTTGATTCAAGTCCTCAAGTGTCATCCAGTGGAAAACAGACAAGGGCTCCATAGAACAAGGACACACAGAGCCAGGCACAAAATAGCCCCGAAGGGGTCATGTGCACAAGGGCAGAGCAGGGGATGGATGGCAGGGCAGAATTCAAAGAAGGGGCAGGCAGCAGAGTTGCTAGTCCTGTGTGATGCCTTCAACATGGGAAGCAGAAGGAAAGACCAAGCTGTGGAATGGGACCAGGAGCCAGGCTGTGCAGAGGCTCTCCACGAGCAAACAGCCTGAAAAATGCACAGGTGGAACTGAGGGTGGGGGTGGGGTTGCAGTGGGGTGTCTCCTGGGATCACATACCCAGGTGTCAGTCTAGCAAGGTAAAGGCAAAACCCCCATGGCAGATGACTTCTTTGCCCCCAGATAGTGCCATGGCCAATTACCTGCCTTCGGAGGTGTCTTGGGGGCAGGTTTCTTTTTCACAGTTGCATCACCTGGAACAAAGAAGTCCACAAGTTATTTCCTGTAGTTCTGTTTCTTCACAAAGCTCCTGATCCTAGGAAGATGCAGTCTTGTACACTGACCCCTCATCCAGGGAGGACTCTTATTTGAACATGTCTTTTCAGGCTGAGCACAGTGGCTCACACCTGTAATCTCAGCACTTTGGGAGGTCGAGGCAGGTGGATCACTTGAGGTCAGGAGTTTGAGACCAGCCTGGCCAGTGTGGTGAAACCCCATCTCTACTAAAAATACAAAAAAATTAGCTGGGCATGGTTGTGTGCACCTGGAATCTCAGCTATCCAGGAAGCTGAGGCAGGAGAATCACTTGAACCTGGGAGGCAGAGGCTCTTCTGAGCAGAGATTGCACCACTGCACTCCGGCCTGGGTGACAGAGTGAGACTTTTGACTAAAAATAAATAAATAAATAAATAAATAAATAAATAAATAAATAAATAAATAAAGTAAATGAATATGTCTTTTGAGAGATCACCTTGCTCTTTCATACAGCCAACCTCACGGACAAAAAAGAATATCAGTTCTCAGGGACCTATGAAAGGGTCCCTGAAGCCTCCAATGAGGTTAAAAACTCCCCAAAATGCTTATGCTCCCAGAGCCCTTTTCGAAGATGATAATGCCACACTCATTAACCACTCTCTCACCCTAACTTTCAGGAAACTCAGAAAGGAAATTATGTCATGTCAGATAAACCAACTAAAATTAGCCTTTGGTGTGGATCCAAGGGTCGCAAGCTTCCTTTGGGTCACAGACTGTGGACTGGTGGCTTTCATTTTTTTAAATGTTTGTTGGATGGATGAATGGATGAATGAATAAATGGTCTCCTCCCTTCTTACTCCTACTTCCTCCAAATAACTCAAATGAGAAAAATGACTCAAACAGAAAAGTTATGCAGCACAAACCTATTCACTTGGCTAAATCACAGTATAGCGCATGGGCAAGAACATCTTGAGCTGTCGTCATGGCTTGTTTCATATTTCTTCCATGTCTTTGCTCAAAAGCCATCTAACCTATCTATCCAAATGAAATGAAAACCTACAGGCACACAAATACCTGGATGCGAATATTTGCAGGGGCCTTATTCATAATTGCCAAAAACTAGAAGGTATCCAAATGGATGAACTGTGGTACATTGGTGCCACCAATGAAAAGGAACAAACTACTGATACACAGAACATGGACGAATCTCAATGATTTATCTTTTTCTTCTGCTCAGAGAAGCCAAACTCAAAAGGTCACATACTGTATGATTCCATTTATATGACATTCTAGAAAAGGCAGAATTATAGGAATGGAGAACAGATTAATGAATGGTTGCCAGAGGTGGGGTGGGGGAGGGGTGGGCTGCAAAGGGGCACAGGGAAATGTTTTGTGGTGACAGAACCAGATCTTGACCATGCTGAGAGTCACATGATTATATTAATTTATCAAGACTCATGGAACTGTGCACTAAAGAGGGTGAAGTTCACTGCAGGGAAATTATACCTTAACATAAAAAGTGAAGAAAAGCCACCAGTGAGATCTTCCCTAACCACTCCCTACAAACGGCAGCCCTGCCCCCAGGAGCCCTCATCCTTCTCATCTTGCTTTATGTCCCCCACCCCCTACCCCATGGCACTTATCACCATGTGAAAAACTGTATCTTCACTTATTTATTTACTGTCTGCCCTTTTCCTCCCCCTAAACTGTGAGCTTTCTGAGGGCAGGGAGTTTTTTGGTTCACTGCTGTGTACCAATGTGCCTGGCACGTAGTAGGCACTCAGTAACGATTTGTTGAATGAACGAGTGGGCTAATATTGACAACTATTCATCCAGATAGCTTCACCTCTGCAGATGAAGGGGAAGTGGTGTCATTGGCTTGGATATGGGTTGTCCTGTGACCACAGACAAGTTGGTAACTGGTGGAACTTGTTATGCATTTCCACAAGGGGACGCGTGCTGCTGCCCACTGAATGCCCCAGGAGGACTGTGTGAGGCAGCAGTCCCTGACAGGAGCACACTGAGATCACGGAGCGGATGGCTGCCGGCTGTGTGGTTAAGCCCAGGATGAGAGCTTCCACCAAGTTCACTCTGGCTCATTGTCATCATTGATCCATCCGTCCGTCTCCAAAAAGTTACTCAGGGCCTACTGTGTGCCAGGCAAATGCCAGTCAGGATACACGACTAACCTGGGTACTGAGGAGGAAACCAAACAATATAAGAAATCAGGCCTCAGGGTCTTAAATGTCAAGGTATGTGGTCCACAGGAAAGAGGAAAGGCTTTTTTTTCTTTTTCTTTTGCCATAAAGGACATTTATAGGATAACTGGCAACATCTGAATAAGGTCAATAAATTAGATGATAGTATTGGATTAGTGTTAATTTAATGTTTTGATCATCAAACTGTGGCTTTATAAGAGATTGTTCTTGTTTTTAGGAAATACACACTGAAGTATTTAGGTGTAGAGGGTATTCTGTGTGCAAATTACTTTCAAACTGTTCATAGTATATACGTATATATATGTGTGTGTATATATATGTGTGTGTATATATACTTGTATATATGTGTGGAGAAGTAGAAGGAAGAGAGAAATGGAAAAAGAGAGGGAGAGAAAGAATACATGAAAAACAAGGCCAGGTGTGTTGGCTCACACCTGTAATCTCAGCACTTTGGGAGGCTGAGGCGGGTGGATCACCTGAAGTCAGAAGTTTGAGACCAGCCTGACCAACATGACAAAACCCCATCTCTACTAAAAATACAAAAATTAGCCAGGTGTGGTGGCACATGCCTGTAATCCCAGCTACTCAGGAGGCTGAGGCAGGAGAATCGCTTGAACCCGGGAGGCAGAGGCTGCAATGAGCTGAGATCGTGCTACTGCACTCCAGCCTGGGTGACAGAGCGAGACTCCATCTCAAAAAAATAAAAAGCAAACATAGTAAAATGTTAACCTTTGAGGAATCTAGATGAAGGGTATATACAATAATTTTTCATGCTATTTTTACAATGTTTTCTGTGAGTCTCAAATTATTTCAAGACAAATTACATAGAAAGTTATAAAAAAGATGTGTTCTTCAGTCAACATGATGTGGCTGTTTGAATGGAAAAAGAACACTGTTGGTGGAGGAGATGATTAGTTAGAAGGCTAAAAGATAGGATGTAAGATGGACCTGAAGGCTAGGGAAGGTCTGAACTGGAGAAAGGGGAGAACCCACAGGTCAGGAACAGACAGTAGCTCAGAGGTGAGAATTAGGGTGATGTTTGGAGGAGGCTGGCAAAGCACAGGGCTGATATTGGACAGCAGGGGTATGAGGATAGTGGACACTCTAAATTAAACAGAATTAAGGTGAGGCATAGTGGTTCAGCCTGTAAGCCCAGCGCTTTGGGAGGCCGAGGTGGCAAGATCACTTGAGGCCAGGAGTTCGAGACTAACCTGGGCAACACGGCAAGACCCTGTCTCTATAAAAAACAATAAAAACAGCCAGGTATGGTGGTGCATGCCTGTAGTCTCAGTTAGTTGGGAGGGATTGCTTGAGCCCAAGAGTTCGAGGTTACAGTAGCTATGATTTTGCCACTGCAATCCAGCCTGGGTGAAGAGCGAGACCTTATCTCAGAAAAAAAGAAAGAAAATTAAAAATTTGGTTCCTTGGTTGCACTAGTCACATTTCAAGTTCTCAATAACCATATGTGGTTAGTAGCTATCACATTGTGTTGATGTGGGACATTGCTTTCATCACAGAGAGTTGAGCTGAGGCTTTGTCCTGAGTGAACAGCGAGTCCTCACTCAAACAGCAGTTGGGCTGGGCTAGAGGTCCCTGATAGGCCTTTCCAGCTCTTGGGGGACAGATCCAATTAGGAGGCTATTGCCATACCTTGGAAGGCACTGATCAAGATCCATGCAGAAAAGAAGAGGCAAATGAGAGGCAGAGGAAAGTTAAAAGAATTTAAGGGGCTAAACAAGAGGGAGGTACACAGATTACTTCGAGATTTCTTGTGTAGATACACGTGGAAAGTCATACTGAAGGAATATAGAATTAGGAGTACCAGACTAATCTGTTTGAATCTGTTTGTAGGTTAGAAGCCCAGGATCAGAATTCCAGAGGGAGGCTGGTGGAGACTGGAAGTGAAAGATTCCAGAATTAAAGAAGCCATTAGAATGGAAACCATGAAGATGGGCCATTTCCTTGGGGAAAGAGAGTGCAATGAAAGATGAGTGGAGGCCAGGGTTCGATCCCAGGTGTGTCCACAGTAAAGAAGCTGAGACATGGGAGAGGGCTGTGGAAGGACCCTGAGAGCAGGAGTGTTGCAACAAGCAAGGGTAGAGGAGGACAGATGCTGGGAAGAGCGCCAGGTGTGCCCAGCATGGAGTGAGAGATGGTGATGCTGGAGAGGCCAGGTTCCATGGGACAGCATGGTCCAAAGTCACCCCAGAGGAGATTCTTGAGTAAACAGTGGGGAATGAAACAGTCAACGATGCTGGAGGTGAAAGGACAAAGAGAAACAAGGAAACAAGAGGGAATATGAAGCTCAGGTTTCTTCTGAGGTGAGAAAAGAGAGAAGATGACAAGGTGGAAAGTAACGGCTGGGGCACAGTGGAGAGGGAGAGCCCAAAGATGCTAGAGGGAAGAGCATGGGGAGCCAAATCCTTTGGTGGGGGAGACCAGATGCAATATGGGATGCCTGTGACTGGCTGAGCCACAAAGGCCCTGCCCCTCTTCGTCCAGGACTGTTGGGAAGAGAGAGGCCCTCCAGGGAAGAAGAGAGGGCTTCTACTGGAGCCCAGATCTGATCTCTGGAGAGAGGAGGCCATCTGCTCAGAGGAGCTATGTGGAGGGCTGTTGTCATGGGCTGAATTGTGTCTCCTCAAATTCACATGTTGAAGCCCTAACCCTTGGTACCTCAGAATGTGACCGTATTTAGAAATAGGGCCTTAAAAGAGGTAATTAAATTAAAATGAGTCCATTAGGGTGGGCCATAGTCCAATTTGACTGGTGTCCTTATA